TATTCAGGCATAATTTTCCACATTTATCCCGTGAAATGTCGATTTTTCTAATTTCCGAATTATAATGCAGAAGATAGCGTGGGCCTTCAGTGATTAGATATTGCAATTTACCTAAACAAGCGCTTGCGGTAGAAAAAACAAACAAATAACAAGTAATTCTGTAATATATCCAATTCAGAGCACGTAAAAATTGGCATGATACATAATAATAAAGAAGTTTATTGCGATGTATGCAATCGATGCAAAGGACCTTTTTCCCCTTCATTTCAAACTTCAATGGAATTTTATCCGAAAAATATGTGTATCGCTTGAAATTGATGTTGGATGTCGGCGATATCGTGGCCCTACCTCATTGAATTGATATCATTTGTTTGGTGCTGGTCGCAAGCAAAAAAGTCTCAAGCAAATTTGGTACGGTCATCGACATTCATTTTTTTTCGAAAAATACTTTTGCCGCTTGTTGCAAATCGACGAGACGAAATAAAAATGTGAACCATATTTTTGTGATACACATTTTGTTTTTCTCTTCATCCATTCTATCTTTCATTCGACCGTCTGGAAGTTTTGTGATAAACGTAATTTATATATTTGATAAAACGGTACGATTTGATCAACTTTGACATTATCCCTTGAATTTTAAGCAGCATGAATTTGAGTGGCAAAAATGGTAGCGGCAACTTTTTGGATTTGCAATGAATTGTGATTAAATGTAAATATTGCAGACAGATTTTTCTTCTCTTGAATCGTTTTTCCGAAAAGAAATGCATACTTTTTGTGCACAAATGAATGGTGCATGTGTATTGTGATGGTCATGGGAGTATGAGCGCAGATGGACAAATGAAAAGAAAGAAAAAATAGACAAGTTAAATTCCTGTCAGAGCAAAAAAGTGATGTGCCAGACTGGAAACCCAATTGAAAACGTCTATCTAGAAAGAGGAGCAGAGAAAGAATAGCAGAGAAAGTAAGCGTTTGCAATGAAACAAAATGCAATTAAATCGTTCACTTTTAATTGAACATTTCAACTTAATCAGAGCGAGAATATAAAGCAGAATTCGAGTGATATGTGTAGCGTCATTTATTGCTCAATGAGCGAAAAACCAAGCGTTTCATATTCGATTCGATGTGGCGACTGCAAGTGGCACTGAGGCAGCATGGTTTCAATTCTGTCTAATTCGTATTCAAGCCGATTTCGCAGAAAATTTGAACGGGCAATTGTTTGATGGCATGACCAAACCAACCATCCAATGTTGGAATTACGTGGAAAATGCTGGCAATTCTCGTCTAATGGAATTACGCAATTTAAATTTCATTTGTAATGCTTTTGACATTTAAAACGCTCATGTTTCCATGATTTTCTCTCATATTACAGTACTTCGTTAGCGGTGTAATTAAAATCAAATATCATGAACTGATAAACGACTCTGGAGTATCAACTGGTAAATCCATTGCCACTTTGAATGCGGTTTACAGCACTCTTATAGTCTCTTGACCTAGCAACAAACACAACACACTCACATCACAATCGCTGAACGGCTGAAACCAGTTGGCTCTTATGCAGGCGAGGTGTAAAAATGCGTATAATCTGCACTCAATGCAAATGTTTTGCATACGTCCCGCATTTTCAATCCCATTCACCCACATTCAAAATTACATGTTCAACGAGATTTCAACGGCAATGAAGGTGTTTCCATTCGACAAAATGCCAAAATGATTGAATGAAAATGAGGCTGCAAATTGTAGATAAATCATGCATCAGCCATTCAATCTTATGAAATGACATAAATGCATTCCAGAATGAATGTTCGTATGTAATCTCAAAATTCTTCGAGTACTTTCACTATTCAATTCCGACTAAATTAGGCCAATCTGTCAATTAGGCAAGTGGGTGGAAACGACACAACTTTGGATTTAGGTTGCCATGCGAAAGGAATTTCGTGGTTTCTCGTGTACGTACGATGAATGACAGAGCAACAAGTATAAGAGCTATGTGCAAATTAGAGGCATATTCATCATGGCCACACATAGATCTTGTCTAGTTTGGTCGATGTGGTCACATATTTCTCTCAATCAAATTGGATAGTATGTCAGTATCTATTCAGTGCTATATATGTGGTGGCAGGACAATTTATCAGCCTTGATCTGTTTTGATACATAGACATGAAGAGCGTATTTGGATATGGTCACATGATATTAATTTCCTGACCATTTTAATCAATTGTAGAATCAATGCAATCTCAAAATTGAAAAAGTCACCACAGAAAAATGCATGTGAAACCATAGCAGTCCGGAGATTCATCGATGCTTCATCGGTGGAAACCATCGAACATCTGAAACATTGACGCCATTGAATCATGGCCTTGAAGAACTAATTTATATGCAGCTGTCAGCCATATGCTACTGATTGTTTCTGTCGTCACAAGCCCAGGATTTGCGCTTTTTTTCGTTGCTGCATAACACATCAATTCGATTTCGAACGACCCATTCAATCAGCCGAAAGACAATTCCGATCGAATCAATTGATATTTCATGCCAATTTTATGATTTTATACATGTAGGAAAAGCAAATATGCAAAAGAAGCAAGGATATTTTTGGCCATAGCATAAAAAAGATTATTTATCGCCTCGGAGCGTACATTGATTGTCGATCAAAGTTTATTTGATGGGCATGAAAATGGATTTCATCATTGTACGTGCATAATTTTATCCGTATAAATTGAAATTCACTTGAATTGGAAAGCGAAAAAAAGAGAATCGATTTGTTTGCCAACGTTTGGATGTCAATGCAAACTGTTCACGCGTATATTTACGGTGGTGCTTTTTTTTTCTTCTTTCTCCGCATGTTGATTGTGCACACTGATGGATTTCAGCGGTGATTGGATTGGATTTAATTTCCTTTCAAACATGTTTTCCAAGTGCACACTGAAATTCCTTTTGTAACAAGAACAGAAGTTAATTAAATTTTGAATCGAATTGAGCGGAAAAATGATTCTGGCATAAGGAAATCTTTCATCTTTCTCTTTCCACCCATCGATCACCCATTCCCGACTGAACATGTTGATACAACAAAATCCATGTTTCCGAACACACAGATTGATTTTACATGAATGATGGTGAAAACAATTTTGAGATGATTTCCATGTTTTCAATGCACAAAAATGACATGTAAGCCCTTTTTTCCATTTTGTTCATGTAACTACATTGCTGGTTGGAATAAATTCACATAATTCATTTGGAAAATAAATTATGATGTTAATTAGCTTGCACTTGTTTGTTCCAGCTGAGTGGCCATAAATCATGTTCCGGAAATTGTTTTAATGCATATGCAGTAGCAATTTAGGGTAGTATTTAACTGAATCTTTTCCGCACATTCAATGTAACTTGAATTAAATTATATTCAATCATGGTATGAATGTTCTATAAATTGGACATTTCCTCAAAATTCACTTTAAAAGCATTTTTAATGAAAAAAAAAATATTTCCAATGAAAATGGGTATTCATTCATTACACTGTTTTGATGGATGGATTCTGAGTGGATTCATTATTTCCCATTTAGAAAAGAAAACGCATTCTTCACCATAATTTAATTATTTATATTCGCGGATGGGAAAATTCAATAAAAAAAAACCACATAAGAAAGACGACGACCGTGACAGCGGATTGCTTGGTGGCAAATTGATGGAATGGAAAAAAGTTGTAATTTCCAATAAGTTTTGCGTGCTTTTAATGGAATATAGCAAGTCAAAAGGATGAGAAGAACATCGCGTCGTCATAATCATTTTTTGTCCTGTGTTTTTCATCTTCTGGTGGTTACGAACAATTTTTATTGCACCATTGAACTTTTTTTTCTCTTGCTCTATTTTTTTTTCTCTCTCTCTCTCTCCCTCTCTGAATAGAAATCCAATGTCCCACTTTTTCACATTTTTCTTCGTCGTTCGTCTTGTTTATTTCCCACAACATTTCGCTTCTTTACTTAAAGTTTCAGTGATATTGTTGTTGTTGTTGGCAGTGGTATGTGTTTTTTTTTCTTATATACGCATTGTTCGCTTTTGTTGCCGGATAAAATTTGCTGACGAAGGATAAGAAAAATGGCAGAAAATTCAATTCTCTCTCTCCTTCTCCACTGTTTAAACAATAGTGTATTTTATGTCGATAGTTGAAGGCAAATTAAAGGTCTTGCACTAAGTAGCCCGCATAATCCAATATAGTAAACAAACGATGAGAATAATTCACATCAATTTCGTCGGTCCACTTTCACATACTGTATGTGACATACATATTTCATTCCAATAAAAAATACTTTATTTTCCATAATGAAATGCTCGTGAAATATCTTAATGGCAAAGAGTACGGAAAATGGTTTTGTCGTACAAAATCGTTTATATTTTTTTAAGGTTCGTTCTTTATGGTTTCAGAACGATGACAATATGTATTTACAGCATCACTGTAGTTGTTTTTTTATGGTTCAAAGCCCATGAATACATAATGATATAATTAAATTGGCTGGCGTGACTTGGACCGTGTGAAGTCCATGATGTGAGTGTAGCCAACGACAAACTTCAAAGTATTTCGACACGTCAAAAGTTCAATACACAAACACATTGGATTTACTAGCCACAAAATTATACCGATATAAAATCAGGATCCATCGTCCAATCGATATAGTACGTCATTTGGAGCATAGATCACATGAAGTTTGATCAAGTTTTTTTTAGTACTTATGGCAGTTGGATAACTATTTTCCAGTACATAGCATGCACCAAATAAGTTTCGACATACAACAGGTCGTTCAATCAATTGTTACTCAGAGAATGAAAAAAAACACTTTGATCGAATTACATGCATATTTTCCATGCACATAATGTTATTGTAATAGGAATAATATCATGACATAGATTATTCGAACGTCAGAGAAATGCAGCGACCAGAATTTGGAGTTTAATTTAAAGTTTTCGACTTGGAAATATTGGAATAAAAATTCGATTTTGATTTTCCATTGTAGGCGAACGAGTGCAGACTGTTGAATTGCTGAACGTTGATACTTCGTCCCAAGAGCGAGAGTGATTCAAGCGAGTGGAATATGTCGTCATCTCAGCATCCAATGTGCCGATCGTTTTCAGCAGAGGGCCAAAAAAAGGATTGGAGCAAGCGCTTATCTTTGAGAGGCAATCCACGCATCTCGAGAGAGGTAAAACCGGAATTTATTTTCCTTTTTCCATTTATTTCTGTCCATTTCATCTTTATCCACTTGACACAAGCGATATATCGCACAGGCTTTCATCTTTTATTAAAACCACTTCAAATCCTCTGTGTAAATCCGAAATCAAACTTAATTTCGAAGAAATGTATTTTATCATTTACATTTTCAACGATCGTCCATTGAGTGTGTCCTTTTTCCCCTCTTTTTCTTTTTTCTCTGTGCTTGAATGTTTGTTTGATTGAAAAATGTTATGAATTTCAACTGGTTTTCAGCAGGAGAAGGATGGGAACTCTCGCAAGGGAATTGGACGACGTTCAACCTCATTACGACAGTCTCGATCTCCACAAATCTCGCTCGAATTACAAGTACCATCGTTGCAATCGCCCATAATTAGTTCACTGACCACTACCACAACCACCACACCGAAAAAATCCAACTGGGAAGTCATCGAACACTTTAACAACGCTGAAAAGGGTCGTGGCTCTGTCAGCAGTAGCTTGATTGCGGTAAGTCTTATACACACACACACACGTAGACACATCAGAGAGAATGTGAGCGGTAGAGTGTAGTCTCGCTTCTCGGCGTAGTTTTCCATACATATCAAGCTTAAACTTAAAATACAAAAAAAATAGAAATCGGATGACACACGTTCGTGCAGTTGATTGATTATTGATCCTTCGTGTGTTATTATTTTGTGATGATGAAAAAAAAACTAATAGGTTGGGGTGACTCGTTTCAATATGGATGGGTCTGGTTCAAATCACTCGGTATCAACATCAAATAGCCCAATGATGAACAGAGACGTGCAACAACCTTTTAATCAAGGTGAGTTTGGTTCACGATTTTCAGTATCGAGTTTGTCGTTCGTCGTTATAATTATTTTACATTCATCCATCCGACATGCAAATTTCAACGGGAGCACATCTGTCCTATGCATTGATACACTTGAAACTAGAGCTTATGCTCAGCAGAGTGAATAAATAATAGAAATTTGCTGCATATTTATGTACACGAGGGTTGTTTGATCGTCTCCAAGAGACATCGACGCAATAATAAGAAAACATAATTTTAATCATGTGGAAAAAAGAGACATTTTTCTTGTAATAATTTCTCATTTTCTGTGTCATAAAGCCTGGCCAAATGGTGCTCAAGCAATTTTATGATATTTATGTTAATATTTAAAAAAAAAACGTTGTCTACACAAAACCATAAAATGAACACCCAACGCAAGAAGAATTGCGGTTCGAAAATTGATTTTTATGATTTTGTCGGCGCATCGAAATGATCAAACGACCCTCGTGTATGAACTCCTACATAGCGGGTATGTTAATCAATCAGTGAAGATGACACTGAACAAAACAAGCAATGAAACATCGCAGCAAAAGACGGAATTATCAACAGCGACGCATCTTCCACGAAATGAAAGGGTGGGAAGAAAATCCAATATAGCAGTGAAATGTGTCTCAAGAGTCGACAACGAATGAAATATTATAATTCTGTGTCTCGGGTACAGTTTCTGTGCGACAAATTGTCTTCGTCTTGAGTTACACTTTAATGGCGAATGCGGTTAAAGACGATTTTTATGTTGAAATGATTTCGCTTCACTCGCATCGTTTACATAGTTCAACACGTTTGTACAGTTTGCTGTCAGTTCGTTAGTTCTCAGTTTGAAAAGTGCACATATTCGCATTGCGCACTGGTCCGCGCACATCGTGTTACTAATTTGCTGCAATTTTGTCGCAACACAACACATTTCTTGGCAATAATTTTTCCGCACGAAATCATTTATGTTTCAGTTACCAGTCATTTTTTACTAAGTTGTTAACATCTGTTGTCACACACACACATACACACAGGTCTGGGAGATGAATGTACCGAGCTGTGCGAAACGACTGCCAATGGGTCGACTGCATCGTTTTGGATTCGTCTGAATCGCTATATTATTCGCTTGTGCAGTACACATCAATTTAAAAATTTACAGGTAAAAGTTCAAGTTGTGCTGCACAAAAACAGCACCGTGCACAAAACTACTTAATTACAATGTGTTTATTACAATTTTAACGCTTTTAATTGTCTAGGTGGAAATGTTGTACCAACGGTATTTTCTTCGAATGAATCAAAGCAACACGACACACATTTTAAGTTTGTTATTGGCACTAGTTTTGTCATTGGCTGCCGTACAAATTATTCTCATCCCGATGGAATCAGCAACAAGTCAGTCGCATCGAACACTACAACGAAATCGTGACAATGACACGGTGAACAGTAATTTCAGCAACATATCACCGCCGCTCAATCGAAGCCACAACAACATCGCAAACTATACACCGGATGCAAATTCGCAACAGAATTTTGTGCGCCTCAATTATAATTATTCGACGGACAATGAAACAGGTAATTGGTACTTTACTGATTTTCATGCACCCTGCTGATTTGTTCAATGAGCATGCTCATGGTGACTCCGAAGGCACCAGCAGCAACAATATTAGCATCAGTGAAGCAAAGAGCAAACTGGATGGCGGTAGGAAAATCAAATCTATAAATAATGCTCATGCAAATATTGTCTTTTTGAATTTTCAAGTGAGTGACAGCAAATATGCAAGCAAGAGCAATGTGCTCCGTAGTCGACGAGCATATGAAACGATTGTGGACCATTTGGAAAATCATCACTTTGTGTTGACAGCATCAAAAGCGTCAAGTCAGTTCAACGATCATTATTATGCCGAGAGAACGGGTGAACGGCAAAAACGCAACTCCGCACCAAATGTAAACAATTGGAATCGACGGAAACAATTTATTCGGTATGTTCAGTCCCTGTGTGCAAAAGAAGAAAAGAAGAAAAGAAGAAAAAACATAAAACACTTGTATTTGACTTTTGATATTTTCTCCGATTTATGCATGAGAAGAATAGCAAAAAGATGCTCAACCATTATTTTTCCTTTGCCCATCTTGCCACAAGCATATAACAGAGAAGCGGTGGAAAAATCATTTTTCGACATATTAGCATCGGCACATTCTGTAGAAAGAAGTCGAAACGAATCGTTCCGTTGCCTGGGCGCTTCATGCTCAAGTGGCAAAACGGAATTGAAATTCCAATAAATCATGTTACATTCATTGAAATGGGACTATGCATTGTTACCTGTTACACGTGAATATACTGACACAAGTTACGGCACATTCCTCCGTAAAACACAAATAAAAACATTTGTCCAAGTTGAAGAAGACGAGAAAAAAAAACCACACTGTATGTATTATATAGCCACCTGGAAAAAAAAGTTGTATCTAGTTAAATTTTTCAACGAGTCTCTTGATGAAATTCTTCTCGTAGTTTGTTGAATGTTTTTGGTTCAGAGTATTTTCGCAATCAAAAGTTGCAAACGCTTTGAATTTTGGTACCGTTGAAAAAATCGAACAGTTGTTTCGTGTATGCATGTGTTCTTTTTTCGTGCTTTTTTTACCTTGCTGTAAGACTAACTGGAATGTGATTCGAATTCTCCAATGAACAAGACCAAAGGTTGAACAGAAGAAACAACAACTTTTATTAAATTTTCCCATTTTATTTGATGGTAGTATCGATTGAATACGCGGCTGAATCGACGATGATTACATTGATTCAGACATGACTGTTATGTTCGTCTCCACTAAAATGACAACGTTCAAATGAATCCGATTCACTCAACCAAATGTTTATGTCAACCTTGGATTAAGTTTGCATCACAATGACAACCATTCCAAATAGCATTCCGCTATTTTTTGTTTGCTTTGTTACTGTTTATGTTGCCCATTTTCCATATTTTAGAAACAACAGCGTATGCAATTGATACAAATCCAGTGAACATCACAATAATTGTTGTCGCATATTATGCGTCTTTACAATGCATTTAAAAATAAACTTTCTGCAGTGTAATTATTTGTGTGGGATTTATTTACATGGAATAATGACATAGTGTGCATAGCGCGATAGCTAGACGGCGAGAAAGAGAAAAGCTTGGCAAACAATGGATGAAAATTGAGCATCAAAGATTATTTATTTACCACATCAAAAGCACAATAGAATGACGTTTTGTGATACCATTTCACAATTGTATTGTTTTCAATTCTACCATATATTTATTTTCTCTCTCTCTCTCTCTCTCTCTCTCTCTCTCTCTCATTCTCGTTTCTATTTTTTCTCCCCATTTTATTTTTCAACTAAAAAACCGTACATAATACACAACGCAACAACAAAGCCTGATGAAACGCGATATAGAGCAACAAGCATCAACAAGCGCATGGATAAACGACAGAGCTAAAGAAGTGATTGACATTGATGATAATATCCCGTTTAGAGCAAACAATGCCAGCATAAATGACAGCACCACTCATGCCGTTCGCACAGCGATTCAACCAAATGCAACGACACCCCCGTACGGAGTCGAACCGGTTGGAAAGTTTATGTTCGAGACGACATTGTTGAAGACTGAAACAATAGTTTTACTATTGATGTTTGGCATATGCACAATCATTTATAGCAGTAAGTATCGTTTTATATTGACACAAAATGCAGCTGAAAGAATAAAATACTGTTCCACAGCTCTTGATATGCAACAATGTGTGTGTGTGTGTGTCATGAACTGAAAAGTACATTGTGATTGCGAATGTGAATGATTGAGAATGCCGAAAGAAGAAATGATTGTGCTGAAAACGGTTGAAACTCAATATTCGAACGATGGAAATATAACAATGTGTTTTTGTTATTTCAAGTGTACATAATCCTCAACCACTGAAACTTGAAACTGAAAACCACTTGGCAAAGCACACTGGGCACAATGTAATGAGTGGGGTGTGGATTTTGCAGCCAGCATAATTGTTGACTGACACAGTGTTAGTCGGATCGAACAGCAATTTTGGTTTCATTAAATTCTATCCCATATCTCTTTTTGTTTTCTCTCACATCTATTTTTTTTGCTGTATTGTTCTCATTTTTCTGCTCTTCTCATTCAGATTGAGAGGAGGGAAAAACCTGTTTCGAGACTCACATCCACAAAATGAACAATAATTGCTTTGTCCTCTTCATGACTTTCACGAATTCCTTGTTACATCCAATATATTTTGCATCATTCGCCACTCTCAATCCACTTCTACACATTTGCAAAATGTATCCAACATAAGTTGCCCGGTTGAATGAGCATTCGTGGAATATTTCCATTTCGCACTCCTTTCTTCCCATTCTCTCTCTCTCTCTCTCTCTCTCTCTCTCTCTCTCTCTCTCTCTGAATGTGTGTGTGTCGAAATCCGCTTGTTATTTTACAAAAATCCCTAGCACACTTTGTTCCAATGTTTCGACCGTATCTCAAACGAAACTAATTAGAATGGAATTTCACAGTCCATGACATATTGCTATAAATATGAACATGACTGGTCTCGTCTCGAATGTAATAAATTTTTCATGAATTTCCCCGTTTTTGTTCTAGTGAACATATATACGAATTGCTACACTTGTTCATCTCTTTAACTCTTTCTCTTTTTTGGTTTCCATTTTGTATCGTTGCAGTTCTTTTAGCTGTTCTTTCTAAGCCGGCAATGAATGAAATATTTCTGGTGCTGGTCTCCTATGTAATAATATTAACATTTTTGGCTATAGAAATTTGTTTATTTTTTGCGGCTGGTAACAGGTAGGTTTAAACGGGAGAATGAACGAAAACATAGGCAGATTTATGTTTTTGTAGACAAAAGAGCTGTAACCACCGATGAAACTCTAAAAAACAAAGTTACAGAGTTCAAAGACAATGAGCTGAACCGGAAAAAACGGATTATCTACTGTTCGTGTCGCATTTTTTTCCACCTATCTCACTCTCTTCTTTTCTTATTTATTCAGTTCAAACGGATTATTTAAATTACAGTGTTTACAAAGTTTTGCACCCCTTTTGAAATAGGATACGAAGTGGTTTGTATTTTGCATGGCATTCAACCAATTCGTATCGCTATATCGAAGGATTATGTGGATTTGGTTACGCTAACAGCTCTTTTGTTTTCACAAATGATGTTTAAACGGTGAAATTTCTTTCAAGAGGTGAATGAAGAGAGTAAATCAACATGAAATTGTTCGTTTGCTTTTCGCCGGTATAGGGGTACTACATCGGCCAATGGATGTGTATTGATTTTCGTCTACATGACCTACACTATGCTACCGGTGAGATTACGTGAAGCATTGTTCGGTGGTTTGCTGCTATCAATTGTTCATGTGTATCTTAGTTCAACGTGTTCGCTGCATGTTAATTGGTCTGAGGTAATTTTCACTTAAAATTCCAACTAGAAAAAACTTTGCGCAATGACGCCAACAATTCATGGCGTTTAATTAGCCCGATGTATGAGCTGCCACTCACACATATACACAGAACCAAGTGAAAAATCCAAAAATTGGCTAATGTCATTGGCTAATATCGTATTATTAGGCTTTGAAATTGAACTGAACTGGTCGATGTGTAATTCCATCTCTTTGTACTTTGCATATATTCCAAATTTTGAATGCGACCCTGTGTTATTAACTATGTAAATGGGTTCGGAAGCAGATTGTCAGCACGGTGATAGCATTGATATGCACAAATTTGGCAGGAGTCTTCACACATTGGCCCCGAGAGAAGGCTCAACGCAAAGCATTCATTGAAACGCGCCAATGCATTGAGGCTCGCCTACGGACACAACGAGAAAATCAACAGCAGGTTAGTATGCATGTGTATGTATAAAAATGAGAATGAAATGTGATCGAAAAACCATACAACAAACCCGAAAGCCAGATTTTCATCAAGTAAAAATTCTGGGAATCGCGCTCACACACATATGTCGTACCAAATCAAATACATTTCCATTCGAGAAAAAAACCACTGCATATAAAAAAACCGCTGTCGTTGATATGTGGGCGGGAAGCATTTCAATTAAATAATCAAATGTTTTCCATCAAATTACAAGCGATATTCATAAGAATGCGCCACAAAATGTAAATTTACCCCGTGCTAATGGGACTGTAAATAACGTTTAGCCTTTTTTAAATCTTCTCTGGAAATACGTACAATTGTTTTTGAAGCAGACACAAATGTGTCAATTCCCAAAAATTAAACGAGAAAAAAATGTCTTTGCTCATCCAAACGAACCACATTCTGAGTGATGTAGCAGTAGCAAGCGCAAGTAATAAGGACGAATTGAATTGCACGAGTATGTGATGCGTGTCTATTTTTCCCTTTGATATACACAACCACCGTCGTCATCGTCGCTGTCGCTTTTGTCCCGATGATGGAATGTCTTTGTTTCCTGATTCCTTTCAATTGAGCATGCGATGACAAGCAAATCTGCTCAAATCCTTTGTGCTAGAATATGCGCTAAAATCTCAACAACAACAACACCCGTGTATACCTTAAATACGGAACATAAAACTGATTATATTTTGAATATTTACAGGAGCGTCTGTTATTGTCGGTTTTACCGCGCCATGTTGCGATGGAAATGAAAGACGATATCGCTGGTAAACCACAAGAAGCGCAATTCCATAAGATCTACATCCAGCAACATGACAACGTTAGGTACGTACTACAGCCGTATATAATTAAATATAAAACATATCACTCACAAAGTCCCTGGCCATTTTCGCTTTATATAAATTGAATAAGCATTAATCATGCATATAATTGGGCTTCGGTTGAAGCATTTTCATTTAAATTTAATATTCATTTCGGGGAAGCCTTATACTTTTACGAATTTGTACTGCGCTGCTGTAATGCACTACTACATAAAATCATCTTTATTTCAGCATATTGTTTGCGGATATCTGTGGTTTTACGACTTTATCGGATCAGTGTACGGCAGAGGAACTTGTTCGATTGTTAAACGAGCTTTTTGCAAGGTAAAAATAGCAATGAAATTCCTATCGTTTGTTACGTCCAATGATTGAACCTTGATTTCGGTTCGTTACAAATATTCTTGACAATTCCATTGAACGACGGAAAGTGAAAGAAAATGTTTACATAAAAAATATGTTTGCATCGACGACCTATTTAACATAAACTTTTCTTGAACGTTTAAAACTGTTTTGCTATTGTTGCTGTTGCTCTTCCTTCCAGATTTGATAGATTGGCTGCCGAGCACCACTGTTTACGGATCAAATTGTTAGGCGACTGTTATTATTGCGTCAGTGGTCTACCTGAGGCCAGGCCCGATCATGCACATTGTGCTGTCGAGATGGCTTTGGATATGATTGATGCGATAGCGTGAGTGATTGACTATATACATATATTATTCTACCAAAATGTCTCATTAAATTTTCACAGTTTTTTCATACACAAGCTCAATTGCTTCCGGGTATTGAACTTTTGAGCATTGCTCGATTTGAATCAATTTACTGTTGAACTAAAGCTGGCATTTTGTTTACATTTTCGCACACTTTTGTGCCGTTCTCCTTTTCTCTGTATTTTCAGATTGGTGCGCGAAGTGATGGCAGTGAATGTGGATATGCGAGTCGGGATACATTCGGGTCGTGTACACTGCGGAGTGCTAGGTCTAATCAAATGGCAATTCGATGTTGGTTTCATTTCTTTTAAAACAATCGAAATTGTACACAGCGAATGAGTTTAACCACAATTTTTCGTTCCTCTTTCTCTCTCTCTCTCACCCTCTCGCACAAACACACACCTTTGGTCGCAACCACGCACAGGTATGGTCGAACGATGTAACATTGGCCAATTACATGGAAAGCGGTGGAATTCCTGGGTATGTTTGCCATTTAAACGGAACATCAGTCGAGCGTTAAATGAACTAATCAATTGAAAATTGAATTTTAGACGCGTTCACATTACCAAAGAGACATTGAAATGTCTGGATGGTGACTATGAGGTGGAAGATGGCAAAGGCTATGAACGTAATTCCTATCTGAAGGACCATCAAATTGAAACATATTTAATTGTACCGGGCGATACGTATCGTTTGGTAGGTGCTAGCAAGAATAAACTCAATTGTAGTAAATCGGTTTATTTACACCAACGCGCATTCTTCTCTTTTCCTTTTTCCGCACTTCAACAGAATAAACGAGCTCATCATTCCACATCAATTAACGGCAATATATCGAAGGAGCTTCGAATGATGGGCCATACAATGAGCACACAGAAAAATGCAGCACGATTAGGTTTTTCCGATTCGAACGATAGTAAAGATCCGGAAGATGAAGTGAACGATTATCTAATGCGAGCCATCGATGCACGAAGCATCGACCGATTGCGGTCGGAACATTGTCGAACGGTGTCGTTGTCGTTTAAAAAACCAAGCATTGAACGAAAAGTAAGAAATAAAATATTAATTGAATTTCGATCAACACAACCGGTCAAATTAATCCTTTATTTGAAATACCTAATTCATTTTGATGTATTCTATCCCGTTTAGTACATATCTGAGCCCGATCGAATGCTTGCCAAATACTTTTATTGTAGCCTGGGTATTTTTGTTGGCATAATGCTAATCCAAATCATAGTCTCTCCATTGTAAGTGAACAACCAATTTTCACCATTGTGATCAATACGCTCACTTCAAATAAACTGCTCTCAATGTTGCCCTCTTTCGTTTGTTTATTTCACACAGGAACGATTTCAATTACTTTTCAATTGCGGTGTTAGTGATAGTTTTATTTGCATCGTTTTTCATTCAGCTAACCAAAAAACTCAACAGCAATGTAAGCACCATTTTTCTGATCGCTTTTTTTCCCTATGCTAACCTAAATAAACAAACCACTTAATGATTACGTTCATTTGGTGCATTTTCAATTTGTGTTTTTTTTTTCTACAATGTGTCCAAAACGCACAAATACGGCATCGCATAAGGCAGTTATCGAATAAATATCACGCGATAATTTTCTGCTTGCGTTGCCGCAGTAAACGATATTTCAATAGCCGTCTTACGACGCACGTTTGAATTGCTTTACACATATAACGATGACGGCCATTGAAATATCGTATACTGCGGCAACGCAAGCAGAAAATTATCGCGCGATATTTATGCGATAACTGCCTTATGCGATGCCGTATTCATGCGTTTTGGACACATTGTTTTTCTATGATTTCCCTCTTGTTCTCTATTTCAGTTTGCGAATGCATTGACGGTGTTCTCATCTCGATTACAAAGCAATCGAACGTATGCTCAAGCGATGGCATTGCTGGTGGTTTGTGCTGTGACGCTTTTGGCTATATCAAGTATTGTAAGTATCTGTTGGAAGTATATGAATACTTTTATGCGTCTCTTTCTCACTTTGTATATGTTCCATTGGTTATGTAATCGATACGTGACGTTCATACATAATAGAAATTAGATCTGTATGGCGTTCGGTTTACAAACCTTTTGTTGTCGCTTTTAATTTCCGCATCGAATATAGATTACGTATCATTCCTTTCTCACTATATGATGAGCTTGGAATGAACATGCGACTTTCGTCGCTCAATACACAGATACGAAACAAAAATAAAGCAATCCATTAAAATGGAACATGGAAAAGAAATCCGTAAGAATGAAACATAGCATGTGCCATTTTAAGTATTTCGCTTTTCGGTGTTCCGTTTTGATAGATTTTTTGTCTGCAGTGTCGTTATGAACGAATCCCCTCGCATTGTTTCGTTACTCGAATATTTTTTCGTGTGTTTCATTTCAATTGATTCCCGAGCTATTGATCCGTTGCCGAAACCTGTACGTTCTTGTTTTCTTACTGCGCACTACTTTTCTATGGTGAAGGAGACTGCTTTGTTGATGTGTATAACAATACGGGCAAAACACCGGCGCTCCGAGGTTTTCATACAAACTTCCCATGTAGACGATCTGAAACAGGCAAAAATCGAAAAAAAATTTAATTTTTTTTTTCGATTCTCATATAGTATTTTTTTTGCCCAATCCATTGGTGTTATCGCCACATCGAAATTCGGGCTCCTTATCACTTAATTTGCATCATGTGAAAAATGCGAGTGACGTCATCAATAGCTCGGGAATCAATTGAAATGAAACACACTTCATAACGACACTGCAGACAAAAAATCTATCAAAACGGAACACCGCAAAGCGAAATACTTAAAACGGCACATGCTATGTTTCATTCTCACGGATTTCTTTTCTATGTTCCATTTTAATGGATTGCTTTATTTTTGTTTCGTATCTGTGTATTGAGCGACGAAAGTCTCATTTTCATTTCAACCGCATCATATATAACTCTCTCTCTTTCTACCGCACACCCTTTCGCTCCACCAAATACTAACTTACCCTTTTTTTTATGTGTACATCCATTGTTGTATTCGTTCCATGCATACCTCATTCATCGCTCTATTTGGCTGTGTCGTGTATCGTGACGTCGATACAAAAACACCGACCACCCCACAACCTCCCCAAAAAAAGTCAGAGTCATTTTTTATTACACAGGAAAAGTGTGATCTAAACGATACATCGATTATGCAGCCAGATGATTTGGTATCCAATATGAATGCGAAATGTGATTATGATTTCGCCGTAAATGTAAGTATAGGCCGCACGTAATAACCATGATAATGATAAAAGGTAATACGACTGGAATAATTTGAATCACGGATTTTTCGATTTTTTTATTCGTTTAAACGCACACAGACATTTCTACTGCTGACATTGTTGTCGATGATGAATTGTGTAGTCCATCAAGTATTGAAAATTCTGCTAAAAATAACCCTTGTGATTTCGCTGTGCGTCATTTTCTTCACGGTTGCAACAGTACAAAGCATCCATTTGGATATGTTCAATCATGAGAGGTATGATTCTGGCCTTTTGTGAATGCCAACAACTTTATTTTTTTCTCTGTATAACATCTACATTGCGCAACATTATTTTATATATTTTTTTAGTATATATTTTTTGTGATTTTTTTTCACAACCCGTGAGCACATAGTTTACGGTATTTTCTTTTTCATCTTTCTAAGCCTACATTAAAATCATTGCTGTTTTTGACGGTGGTTCTCTCCTTTTTTCTTTTCACATTTTTTTTCTTCTTTGGTTCGTGGAAAAAAACATGTGTAGATATAACTGGAAGGAACAAGTTATTGCATATACAACCGACGCGGTTTTTGTATTTATTTTTGTGTGTGCGCTGATATTCCACAGTCACCAAACGGAAGCCACTTATCGATTGGATTTTATATGGAAATTACAAGCAACAGGTAAAATTGAAAATAGCTCCAAATACACAAAAGTATATGTATATGTATAAAAAAAACTCGGCACTTAAATCCATGCGCATCCATTCATTCACAATTTCATTCATTTTCATTCGCCGGATGTGGCAAATCGTTATTTGGTGCCGTTTTTTCGCAACGCTTTTTTCTCCTTCTCTCTCTCTCTCTCTATTCGATTTCTTTTTTTCTCCCGCTCGCAAATCAATCAACACAGAAGAAAAAGAGGAGATGGAGCACTTACAAGCATACAATAGAAAACTACTTGAAAATATACTACCTGTTCATGTGGCGGAACACTTTTTGAGTCGCGAAAAGAATATCGAGGATTTGTATCACGAACAATGTGAAAGTGCTTGCATCATGTTCGCATCGATACCGAATTTCTCCGAATTCTACGTCGAACTAGAGGCAAACAATGAGGGGGTCGAATGTTTACGATTGCTTAATGAAATAATCGCTGATTTCGATGAATTACTGAGTGAAAAGCGCTTTAGGTAAAAGAAATCCTACATTTTGTTTACGTTACATACGTTTGGTCGGTTAGCTGTTTCAACGATGATTGGAATTAAACTCCTGTGGATTTTTCTTCTTTCTTTCCTTTTTCTCTGTTCCGTAGTGACATCGAAAAAATAAAATCAACGGGCGCCACATATATGGCGATGTCAATGTGTCATTTGAAAATTTGCCCTCATAATTACTTAAACAAATCGAGTGGTAAACCCTTTTGTTATTTAACTTTTTTAATTAATTTTCTGAACTGAATTTAAACTGAAGCCAAACGCAACCAATTATAGGTCCAACGGAGAGCACGTGCGATTTAGTGGATTTTCGTCATGTTACCGCCATGGCCGATTATGCCATGCAACTTTTCAACAAAATTGAAGAAGTTAACGAGCATTCGTTCAACAATTTTCGCATGAGAATCGGTGAGTTGGATACGCGACAATGTTTGTCAAAGTGTTGCCAAAAGGAATTTTCTTTCGACTGTTCCTTCGGTTACCTCTTTTTTTCGTTTTTCTTTTTCAAAAAGGAATAAATGTTGGACCGGTAGTCGCTGGAGTTATTGGGGCAAGGAAGCCGCAATATGATATCTGGGGCAATAGCGTAAACGTTGCCAGTCGAATGGATTCGACCGGTGTTTTGGACCATATTCAAGTGACCCAAGATGTGTACAACATTTTAGAGCCAAGAGGTTATAAGCTGAAATGTCGCGGTAAAATCAATGTCAAGGGAAAGGGTTCGATGATAACATACATTTTGCAACGAAAAAATGCACCCGACGATGAGCAGCTAACGCATCAAAGTAGCAAAGTGACTGCAACCAGTGAAGATTATGAAGTGTACGAAGTAGACGATCAGATAAATGAAGAGAGTGCTCGTCTAACACAAAAGCGTAAATCACTATGCCGACAGCACAATATTTTTTCATCGTTGACGAATAAAAGTTTGGCGTCCGAGCACTCAATGGGTGGTAGTCTCGATTTGCCGGACGATGCGATGATCAATGAACGAACCAAGTTGCTAGACAACAACAATCAATCAAATTCATCGCCGGCGAATGTTATTAGCCCCGATACATATCTCAAAGGATTCAGGCCGTTACCTCAAGCAATCCTCAAAGATTCCATCGAAAGTTTAGAGAAACTTTTGAAAAATGACATCAATCTGTCGGACATAAGCACAACAAAGACGCAAATAACAACGCAACAACAACATCAACAAGCAATCACCAAAATTAGCATTGAAAGTTCGGATACGGCCACTTCGATTTGTAGCAATGATTCGATTCAAACACAAACAGCGAACGAACATTTCGTAAATAGAACGAATTGCAATGGTGACGGCATTAATTCGATGCCAAGCACCACAATTAAGGATGAATGCGAAAAAATGCCATCACCAATGCCACCAAAAGAAACTGCATCATCTGAAGATGGTCTAATTAAGAATATTACGAAAAAAATCCGATTTCGAGACGGTAGTCTAATGAAATTGTCCAAATCCTGGTATCCAGTTGGTACGAAATCGGACCAAACCAATCAAAAAACCAAAATTCCAAACAGCAAAAGCTTACACCTAATATCAACTCATAATCAAAATGGTTCCATTTTTCTCTAGTCAAATTTCTCAACAACAACAATAATGAAAAACTTGAAAATAATTCAGTTTTGGTTTTAAGTTTTCGGTTGCTTATGCTGATGAATGAAAAAAAAAACACATTGATATAAAATCAAACTCAACTTATTTCGATTTCAATTGAATATATTTTAAAATAAATTCACTTTTCGCCTTCGACATTTCAGCACCACATTATTATATTTAGATTTTAAAAAACTCTCAAAAAATGCGCCTAAAACTAATTTACCGAATTATTTTTTTTTGAACATTGCTTTTAAGTGTGATACAACAAAAAAAATTGTAGACAATTTATTCAATAGGTCTATTTCAAAGAAATATATAATTATATACATTGTTTTGCGTTCTTATTGATATGTTTTTATGTTTAAAGAAAATGAACTTATGACAATTTAATAATTTTCTCACAATGAGATGACATTTTCTTGCGTAACATTCAATTAAGAAACTATTTTATTGTTCAGTCATTGTTCCTAAATTCAGTGAGGTTAAGACGAGCTAAGATTTAAGGTATGGATTTGAATGAAGACGGTTTATTTTTCACTTCATCTTTGCCACTTTTGATTGGAATATTGAAAATTCTACAAAAATGAGTACTGATTTGGTTTTTGTAGTAGTTGCCAATCCATTTTTCGTTCAACTTGAATTCCTTCTAAATGAAATATGAATGAAAATAAACGAGTCGTTTAATTGTGACATTTATATAATCAAATTAGTACAATCTATGTGCAATTTAATGCCCAACTAATAAATGTTTATTTATATTATACATAGATAAGGCTCTGAAAGCAAAGAATCAATGAATGAGAATTATTGATGTACATATACACTACGTGGAACAAATACAAAAATAGATTCAAGAAGATTGTATTTAATAAATGTGCAAAAATAAAACAAAAATTTTGAACTCAATGGCAATCGAAATATTTTTCATTCAAATTCTTTTTCTTTGCGGATTTTTTCGAAGCTAACTAGACCATAAGATACTTTTTGGAGGAAATCTGACTCAATGTAAAACAAAGTATGTCTGTGGCAAGGAGATAAGTTCGTTACAAGCACTTCGGTTGTTTCAAATCCAAATTGAAAACGTTCAATTGGAAATTCCAGTGTATGAGTGCGTTCACTCATTCACACCGATCGAACGGACTCTTGGAATGTTTGCTTGACATGTGAGTTATCAGAATGTGTCATCGAAATGTCAGTGCACAAATTGTATATACAAAAAAGATTCAAGAAGTTTCGTTGACCAGAAGGTTGGCCGTGTTCTCGACGTTTTTGTTCCGCTCAAATTGAAATTGTCGATAAAAATGAGTCGAATATGTGCTCTGCCGTTGATGCTTCGGCAATTAACGGTAAAAAATGTGCGAATCAATTCATTTAATCGAAATTTGTGCTATTCATCGCGATTATCATCGCAAAACCTAACCTCAATTCCTCAAAATGAATTTCATAATAGTGCAACGGCGGGAATCATTGCATTCAGTGATCGGCAATTTTATACACCAGCCATCGGTTGCAATTATTCGTGGCGAAATTATAGCAGCCAAAAACCGCCAAAAAGTTCCAATAATAATCCAGCATCAGCGGGAGATGATGACGACCATATGCACGAAGACGATGTATTCGAAGTGTATTCCGAAGAGGAGAACGAAACAGAGGCTACAGAAGATACAAATGGTGTACCATCAACAAACACGGTTCCCGATTATTTCCCACGCGTTCCAATGATTGCAACATCCTATCCCGTTTTCCCGAAGTTTATGAAAGTGTTCGAGGTCACCGATCCAAAACTAATCAAATTGCTCGAATGGAAACTGAGCATGCGACAACCGTACGCCGGTGTTTTTGTGCGAAAGAGTCATCAGATCACCAGCAACGTATCGGAAGTTAAAGACTTAAACGAATGCTATCCCGTTGGAACGTTTGTAAAAATCACCGAAATCAATCGAACGGAAAATAAATTGCAATTTGTCGCTACGGCTCATCGTCGTATTCAAATCGAGAAACAATTGAAGCATGAACGTGTAGCAAATCCATCGCCGGACAAAAAGAGTCGCAAGCAACTGCAAGAAATTCAAAGTATTCTACGTAATGCCGAGTCAAATGTGCTGATGGTGCAAGTTAAGAATCTTGACGAAGAACAACCGGACTTGAATTCAGCCGAATACAAAGCAATCACTATGGAAATTGTGAAAACCATTCGTGATATTATAATGTCGAATTCATTGATACGCGAAAATTTGCAGCAATTGTTGGGCAACAATTTGAGAGTAAATGACAATCCATCGTATTTGGCCGATCTTGCCGCTTCGATAACATCGTCCAAGGCCGATGAACTGCAAGAGATTATGGGAGAAAAAAATGTGTTCAATAGAATGAAAGCAGCTCTGCACCTTTTGATTAAAGAGAAACAGCTTTTGGAATTGCAACAAAAAATCGGTCAAGATGTTGAAACGAAAATCAGAGAGCAGCATCGAGTTTTTATGCTTCGTGAACAATTGAAAGCAATCAAACGTGAGTTGGGCTTGGAGAAGGATGACAAAGATGCATTGGCTGAGAAATATCAGAAATTGTTGGAAGGGAAAGTTGTGCCTCAGGCGGTCCGAACCGTGTTAGATGAAGAATTGCAAAAACTTGGCTTTTTGGACAATAACAGCACGGAATTTACGTGAGTTTGATAGAAAAATATAAAAATAACAAAATGAAATTGCATGAGTAAACAATTAAAATAATTCTCTTCTATAGTGTGACCCGGAACTACTTAGAGTGGTTAACCTGCTTACCGTGGGGCATCCGAAGTGAAGAAAATTTGGATCTTGAAACCGCTGAAAAGATTTTAGATGACGATCACTACGGCATGGAATTAATTAAAAAGAGAATTTTAGAGTTTATTGCCGTGAGCCAATTGAGAGGAACCACACAGGGAAAAATTTTGTGTTTCTACGGACCACCTGGAGTGGGAAAAACTAGCATAGGTAAGGCCATGAAGAATGTTCTAATTCGAAACGTTTTTTTTTTTATTTCAAACGTGATTTATTTACCATGACTTTGACCAACTCTAATCGAAAATGTCATTTCTTCCAGCCAAATCTATTGCAAGAGCATTGAATCGCGAGTATTTCCGATTCAGTGTGGGCGGTATGAATGATGTGGCTGAAATTAAGGGACATCGACGCACCTACATCGGATCAATGCCGGGCAAATTGATTCAGTGTCTTAAGAAAACAAAAACGGAGAATCCATTGGTTTTAATCGATGAAATCGATAAAATTGGCTATCGTACACATCAAGGGGATCCAAGTTCAGCACTTCTTGAATTACTAGACCCGGAGCAAAATGCTAATTTTCTTGACCACTTTTTGGATGTGCCAGTCGATTTGTCAAAAGTTCTATTCATTTGCACGGCCAATGTACTCGAGACAATTCCCGATCCGCTTCGTGATCGGATGGAACTCATCGAAATGTCTGGTTACGTGGGTGAAGAGAAGATCGCCATTGCAAAGCAATATTTGATTCCAGTGGCTCGACAGGAGAGCGGCATAAAGGAGGAACAAGTTCAAATTGAAGACAACGCCCTTTGGTCGCTAATCAAAAGTTACTGCCGTGAGTCTGGTGTTCGTAACTTGCAAAAGCACGTTGAGAAGGTAAAATCCCAAGATTAAATCAGAAGATATGAAATAAATTTATTGTTCGGTGAATTTTTAGATTATTCGCAAGGCTGCTTATAAAATTGTGAAAAAAGAAGCGGACACACTGACGATAACATCAGAAAACATCAACGATTTTGTTGGCAAACCGATATTCACACACGATCGAATCTACGACATAACACCGCCTGGCGTTGTTATGGGCTTGGCTTGGACGGCAATGGGTATGTTTCTCATTTCATTCAAATTCGGAAAATGATTTCTAATTGATTTTGTAAAAAAATGGAATTCACAGGAGGTTCAACGCTGTTCATCGAAACTGCGAAGCGAAAAGTCAATACGGAGTCAATGGACGATAAAAAGAAAGCAAACGGTTCACTTACAGTGACTGGTCATTTGGGAGATGTTATGAAAGAATCGTCTCAAATTGCATTGACCGTGGCTAGAAACTTCATGAATCAAATCGATCCATCAAATACATTCTTGGAAACATCGCACATTCACTTGCACGTCCCCGAAGGCGCAACGAAAAAAGACGGACCAAGTGCAGGCATAACCATTGTGTCAGCATTAGCTTCATTAGCTATGAATAAGGCAATTCGACAGAATATCGCAATGACTGGAGAAGTATCGCTGACCGGAAAAGTTTTGCCAGTCGGTGGTATTAAAGAGAAAATCATCGCAGCAAAACGAGTCGGTGTCAATTGCGTAATTTTACCCGAAGAGAATCGTAAAGATTACACCGAGTTGCCGGAATACATAACTAAAGATTTAGAAGTGCATTTTGTTAAAGAATATTCCGACGTTTACAATATTGTATTTTAGTCTAGTTCACAATTAGCGGCCGAGGTTAGCGTGTAAATTTCAATGAAAATATAAAAAAAATATTGTTGAATTTAATACAGAAAGTAAATGTTCGTTTGAAAAATGTGTTTTTTTCTTCTTCATTCAATTTCTAAACATATATTATAACAGTTTTATTTAAAAGGAGTTTCCATAAATTGGAACCGGCTCTGGGTGAGGAGTCATTGTTAGGACTAATTTTTCCGGGGCAGCAGCTGGCAAACCAGATACAAAACGCATTGGTGGTAGTGGTCGGATTTTGCGACCGAATCGGCCAGTTTTTCGTTGCCACAACCCCGAACGTGGCCGATTTCCGAGCTCACGGTTTTTCTGATGAGAACCAAGTTTGACATCCTGGTGTCCAATGTTTGATACACGACCCACAGTTGCCATACACGTTTCGCTGAAAGCCAATTCATGCTTTCGGGTATCCAAGATGACGACATGTCCTTCGAATTTACGCTGTGATTATGAAAGATAAGGAGATTAATCGAAAAGAGTTGCAGAAGAGTTGAAGGGAATTCCCTTAATTTCCATCATCAATGAAATATTTTTTTCAACTCCCTATTTTGGATAAATAAAACGGAAACTTACAAGAATCGTTCCATATGTACCGGCCGCTCTGATTTTATGATACGGGAAACCGGGCGTTTGTTCAATACAATGCACTTTTGTGCCAATTGGCAGCGCACCCAATGGATATGCGTCTCCCTCATTTGCTCGAACTGAAAACCAGACAATAAAAAATAGCTTTTCTAGCTTACAAACTGATTCGTATTAAAAAGTTCTTACCTGGATTACGTGGGATTGCGCGTGATGTTTTGATGATATCGCCGACTTTCATATTTTCGGTTGCAATAATGTATCGTAGGTTATCTTTGTTACCAACAAGTGCAATATTGGCCGATCGATGCCCATCAAACATGACATCGATTACTCTCTCCTCTTGCGCGGGTCCTTCTTCCGGACCATCACGATCATATTTCACCCAATGAAATTTGTGTTTTACTCCACCGCCAATACCTTTTGCAGCCTAACAACCAAACTTCAATGTTTTCATTTGTTCCATTCCAGAAGAGAATTTCTTGAAAATGAATAAAAACTTACCACACGACCTGTTTCTGGGTCACGACCTGCCAAATGCGTTACATCCAATGGCTTCACTGTATACTTTTTATTCTCAGGATAGTGCACCAATCTACAGAATTGACGAGAAATTATTCAATTCACATAACCTATATTCGATAAATTGACGACAACCTACCGTCGAAATTGTTTACCACCGCCTGGTTTTGGTGTTGGCTTGTCATGTGGCTTATACTTGTAAAAACGTTCCAAACTAGTTATCGGCAATTGATTCTTTGTCGAAAGCAATTGCTTTCCAAGCGACAAATTCACAAACAATTCACGCAGCGAGTTCATTCTGCAGGCTAAATTTGAACTCAGTTAGCCATTTACACAGTTCCACCAATGTGACAGCCAACAAACGTCAAAGTCAATGTTCAAATGTTACATAAGAGACAGGCATTTTTTCAATAGGGGTCGTTGATAAACGCAATCATATGCTTATTGTTATATTTTTTAGAGGATATTTACACCTATATGTTGAAATTATGAATAAAACCTAATTTGATAAACACTAAATTATCTTGTTTGATTCAAAAATTCATAAATTATTTGAGCAATCTTTATATCGAAATTAATTTTCCTCGAGTCATATGATTATGACAGGATGAGAGATATCAGCATTGACATTTAACTGTTTATCATCTGTTCCAGATCGCTAAATCGATTCATTTATCTAATTGAATCAATTGTAGCAGAGTTATTTCAAGTGTGCTGCAAAATTAAATAAGATATTAGGCTTAGGTTGGTGTTCATCATGCCTGAAGAATACGTTCCAAGTTCTCGTTCAACATTTCTGTATTTTGCATACGGTAGTAATTTGTGGACGAAACGCATACATTTGCAAAACTCATCAGCTGTTCGCAAAGGCATCGCTCAATTAAAAGTAAACAGTGAAATTGGACAATTTTGCGGGAGAAAAGATTAAAAAATGTGGATTTTTTCGTTTCAGGGTTACCGTTTAGATTTTTATCAGCCGTTTGGTGAACCGACCATTTGGAATGGATCATCGGCCACGGTAATTGAAGATGAGAATCACACGATCTGGGGTGCTGTCTATGAGATTGATTTAATGCATTTGGCATCGTTGGATGCTCAGGAAGGTGTTCACATTGATAAATATGTGCCACTCATCAAAGAAGTTGTCACACCCGATGGTGAAGTATTGGAATGTCGTTTGTATCAAATGACCGAGGCACCAACTAATCCAATCAAATTGAGCGATGCAACTATTCCATTCGAAAGAAAACCATCGAAATGTGAGTATCCATTCAGTCTAATGACTTAAACAAAAACATTGTACAAAATAAAACCTTCGTATGTAGTTGAATAATTAAAGCCTGAATTTTCGATAGGTCAGAATAAATGTGAAGGTTTTGCTACTGTTTTTGTTTGTCATAGAAACGGTTTTGAAAAACATCGATTTAATCCTCAATTTATCGACCGATTTTTATCAATCTCTTTTTCAATTTTACTTTTTTCAGCCTATTTGGATGTCATTTGCCGTGGTGCTGAAGAGAGCCAATTGCCAGAGAAATATCAATGTTTCTTGAAAAACATTGTTCACAACGATAAAGATGCACACCCTGAATTGATAACCAAATTGTTTGGAGAAAATCATTAATATATGTTCATGATTTTTGCCGCTGCCAAAAAGCATATTTTGTAAATAAATTCAATGTCGAGTCGACATTGTCGACCACATCTTTAAAATAAAGTTTATTTTCTAAAAATAAGTCATATCATTTCACTGGGTCACACATTACGGTTGTGCAATAGGAAAACTGATAATAAGTACGAAGTATTGATGCTAATAACTTACGTTCAATCATATGATCGGAGAAAGAGTAATTTTGACAATTTAAATTCAATATGGATCGTCGATAAATTCCCATTCAATACGTTTCATCAATGTATTTTTGTAAAAGAAAGTTCAATGATTTTCTTCAAAAAACGACGTTGATATGGTGAATGAAACTCCATTTAAATATTCTAGAAGTTTCTTATCTTGATCAAAATGTCAACGTTTGTTGTGATGTTTTTCAAATATCAACGTGACTCTATTTCGTAACATGTGATTGAACCGACTATAGCCTATAATAAATTCCAGTTGCTATATTCCTTTAGCAAATGATAGTCTAGTTCCTTTTTTCACATTCAACACTGTCTTTCCATTTTGGTGCCGAAAACAAAGATCATCCATAAATTGAAAGCTGCAGTGAGTACTCATTTTATTAGAAATTGATTAAATGTGTGACTAAAATGGAGCGAAACAATATAACAAAATGTTTATTTGTTTCGGTGGTCATTCTGATAGTGCGAATTGATGTAACTAACGCAACGGTAAGTGATATAAAATTCATAAAATCGTCATAAACTCAACAAACGTTCGACAGACATTTAAATCGGGAAATACTTTGCAGATATTCGAATAAATCAATCGAATAAATTCAAATAATTCTTAGGAAATTAATTAGGTTCGCCTTTTATTTTGTGTTAGTTCACCATGCCTGAAGGATACGTTCCAAGCAATGAAACAACAAATTCAACATTTCTGTATTTTGCATACGGTAGCAACATGTGGACGAAAAGAATACATATGCAAAACCAATCAGCTGTTCGTAGAGGGAGCGCTCAACTAAAAGTAAACAATGAAAATGAATTGGTAAATTCGAGTGAAGAAAATATTCAAAAAAATTCCAGGGCTATCGTTTAGATTTTTATCAACCGGTAGACGAACCTAACCCTTTTTGGAATGAAGTATGGGCAACAGTAATCGAAGATAAGGATCACACGGTATGGGGTGCTGTGTATGAAATTGATTTAAATCATTTGCAATCGTTAGACGTTCAAGAAGGTGTCGAAAATAACACTACTCAACAAATTTCGAGAAAAAAAATTCCCCCAAGAGGAGAAGACTCTTTTTCATGGTTTTTGAGGCCGCTGAGACAACAGTACCTTGAATATGCTAAAATCGCACCTGTGCTATATCTCAAAAACTAGAGCTGCTAGAGCCAAACCAAGGCCAAATTCGGATTCAGCGGCCCCAAAAACCATGAAAAAGAGTCTTCTTCTCTTGAGGTGTTTTTTGCTGTTGAGAAGTGTAAGCAATTTGTGCTGGGATATATAGCAAATACCAAAGAAGTTGTGACACCCGATGAAGGGGTATTGACATGTCGATCGTATCAACTGACCGAGTTACCGACTAAGGTCAATTTAAGCAATCCAACCATTCCGCTCAAAAGAAAACCATCGAAAAGTGAATATCCATTGACTACAGAACACAGAACAAGTTACAAAACATGAGCAACCCATAAAGGCAATTGAATTATTTAAGCCTGAATTTTCAATGGCACATAATACTCGTGAAGAACAATTTTAGTAGTGTTTGTTTGTTGTCGAGGCAGTTTATCAATATTTTTTCAATTTTATTTCAGCCTACATGGATGTCATTTTGCACGGTGCTGAGGAGAACCAATTGCCGGAGGAATATCTCGGCTCAATAACAAAACTGATAATAAGTGCGATGTGTTAGGCTAATAACTTCAATCATATGATTTGAGAAGAGGTTAATTTGACAACGTTACGGTAGCGAATCCGCGATTTCTCACAAATCTGTATATTTCATCAAAATTACGTGATAGGAATTTGGTTTTACTTCAATAGAATCTGTACAGAATGGACAGTGTGTGTTTGATGTGCGATGTTAGCATTATCGTTTCACAATTTTTATCAGCTCTATTTTTGTAAGCGAATTGAAAAGGTGTATATCAGTAGATTAGATTCATAATAACTTCCAGTTGCTATATTCCTTCAACAGATGATAGTCTAGCTTTCTTTTTCACATTCAACACTGTCTTTCCATTTTGGTGCCAAAAACGTGGATCATCCATAAATTAAAAGCTGCAGCGACTACTCATTCTATTGAAAATTCATTAAACGTGTGACTAAAATGGAGCGAAACATTTTAACGAAATGTTTATTTGTTTTGGTGGTTATTCTAATAGTGCGAATTGATGTAGCTAACGCAGCGGTGGGTGATATAAAATTCATAAAATCGTCATAAACTCAACAAACGTTCGACAGACATTTAAATCGGGAAATACTCTGCAGATGTTCGAATAATTCTTAGGAAATTAATTAGGTTTGCCTTTTATTTTCTATTAGTTCGTCATGCCTGAAGAATACGTTTCAAGTAATCGTTCAAAATTTCTGTATTTTGCATACGGTAGTAACATGTGGACGAAACGAATTCATATGCGAAACCCGTCAGCTGTTCGCAAAGGGAGCGCCCAACTAAAAGTAAAATGAATTGGCAAATTAGGAAAGAGAAAAGTCTCAAACATATGCAATAAATTTTTCCAGGGCTATCGTTTAGATTTTTATCAACCTGTGGGTGAGCCAAGCCCTGTTTGGAATGGATCACGGGCAACAGTAGTTGAAGATGAGAATTACACGGTATGGGGTGCTGTGTATGAAATTGATTTAAAGCATTTGCCATCGTTAGATGCTCAAGAAGGTGTCAATAGTAAGCGATATGTGCCAATCACCAAAGAAATCGTGACATCCGATGAAGAGGTATTGACATGCCGTTCGTATCAATTGACCGAGCAACCGACTAATGCAGTCAATTTGAGCGATCCAACCATTCCACTTGAAAGAAAACCATCGAAAAGTGAGTATCCATTGACTACAAAACAAAGAACAAGTTACAAAACATGAGCAACCCATAAAGGCAATAAAGGCAATTGAATTATTTAAGCCTGAATTTTTGATGGCACCGAATACTCGTGAAGGCCAATATTTTAGTAGTGTTTGTTTTTTGTCGAGACAGTCATAAAAAACATACACACTTCATGGAATATCGAGCGGTTTTTATCAATACTTTTCAATTTTTTTCAGCCTATATAGATGTTATTATGCTCGGTGCTGAGGAGAACCAATTGCCAGAGGAATATCTCGGTTTCTTGAAACGCATCGTTCACAACGGTAGACTTGCATCGGCTAAATTGCTAGAAGAGTTGTTTGGAAAGAATCAATAATGTTGTTCATCGTTTTTCACTGCACCTAAAGTGCATGTAAATGAAATATTCCAAATAAAACCACAATAAATTCAAAATCACGTCTATTAAATGAAGTCTATTTTCTTTGAAAATTCATGTAATTTTATTTGCACCGGCAGTTTGAGGTCGTTCAATGTGCAGTGCACATTGTGCTCTCATTGTTGCACGTACAAAGCACGATACTTTGTTGTTGTTATTGTTGTTGTTGTTCAAATCAGTGTGTAATGTAGTAAACACAGCATCAATTGCGCATGACATTTCTCTGCGAGCACAACAATGTTGTGGAAAATGTGTAACGTTCTCCTCCACTGTTGAGGCACACACTCGCACACACTGATTCGCAATATAGAGAAATTTGCTATGCGTTGCCAAAATCAAGCTTCACAATTGAGGTACGAGTATTAGTCGACACGCATACATATGACCAAAAACTGATGTGACATTCCATCGCTTGAGCTTTTGTTCAGTTTTATCCAGATCTTTACATTACTTCCATTTGATTGCGTTACAGTGTGAAACGAGCGAAACATTCTCATTGAATTTCATCGAAACGCAGAACTTTTTTTCGCTCGTGCTTCGTTTTACTCGTTGTTTATTTTCGAAATCAACTCACATACATCCACATACTTATCAGGCAGTAAATCTATTTATGGCAAAATCGAACGAGCCTAAAGCTCACAGCATATAATAAAATATCGATAAATCCACTGCTCTTTCAAACAGACGCACAAATAAGCTGCACAAGAGCTGCCTTGTACCTGAACGTAACAGAGAGAAAAAAAGCTTGTTGATTTTATAAAAGTGGACTTTCTCAATTGAATTTTCATTAACTTGAACGAACTCTACGTTTGGAAGAGCGTTTATCGCAGAATTTTCAGGTAAAAAAAGGGCCATCAAGTTAAATAAAACACCCAAAATGGAGGAGAAAGCAGGAAAAAAGTAAGTCAAAGTGGAATTATTTATTTATTACGTTAATAATCGATTTTCTGCATTTGCCAGAACAAAATTTGAATTGGATGTAAATCCCATTGAAATGGATGCTCACCTTCGTATACGCCAAATGAGTTTAGATTTGTCGAGCCCAAATCATATTCCATTGAATGTGCGAATAGCCGAATTCCAAGAAGATCCACAAAATATGGATGAAATGACGGCATTCATTGATGACATCCTTAAAAAAGCACAAATCGAAGCAGACGCAAGACTCGAACAGAAAAATAAGGTACCGTACTAGTGTGCAGCTTTTGTACAAAGGATTTTAATGGATTTAATTCATATTGTATGAAATTCAACTCATGTATCGGGTATTTCTTTCTTTTCACAGACTGAGATGAAGAAAAACGGTAAAGGTAATACTTATATTCTGTTTTTTTTCTGATTGGAAAAAAATGTTTCAACCAACTAGTTATGACAAACAGTTATTAGTTTAAAATCGTATAGTTTTGCTAAGCAATTTTCGTGTATAAATTTTCTTCTTTTTCTTGTTATTTATTCTCAATTTTTTTTTATCAAGTTTGACACCAGGTCGAAGTTTTTTCATCCGTTCTTGAGTTTATTGATTTATTTAATTTCTTTTAATTGATTCGGGAATGAGTTGAACTCAACTCTTCGATACCAACGACGACAGCTGGGTGATTCACGGTGACTTTGAACATTATTCGCCCAATCTGAGTCAAGGCTGAGAACAGTTGTTTTTATCCTTAGCTTGCTCGCGTAGATGTGCAAGTTTGATCTGATGACTGAAAAAACATCTTCAACCAATAATGTTTGGCATTGTTTCAGTGCGTTTTGCAGTTCTAGTTTGTGCGCACAGTTTCCAAATGATAAGATGCGGGACGATTGGTTTTTGTCTGGATATGCACTGAAAACACTTGGTATGATGCTGAAATTCAATAGCTCCGACATTTTCATGAGTTGAGCATACTTTTAGGCAAGCCCGCTAATCGAAGATTGTTCCTAAATCTTGCCTGTTTCAGTAGCTCAAATTGCAGTGAGAGTTCGATAAATTTGGCTTGTGTTGCTGTTTGTTTTATTTCAGTGTCAATTTTATCCATGCCGAATTTCGTGCGAAACAAAAACAAGATGGTCATTAGTTCGAATGCTATAATTGAGAAATATGAAAAGTTTTAATGATAGTTTTCATAATCCAAACATATTTATTTATTGATTATTATTGAGAAATAATTCGTCATTTTGTTTGTTTCAACAAATAATACACATTATTATATAAAATACATTTAATACAGTAATGTGTGTTTTTTTATTGAAACAAATTATATAAGTAATATAAGATTGCTGTGTTTCAATAATTAAAAGTTCTTCATACGCGTTTTGATGAAGAATTTTCGTCTTGCACATGTGACAAATTCGCTATAAATCTGTTGTTCGCGTGCTCGAAGAAAGGTAGTTCAAAATAGAGATACAAACGTTTGCTGTCTAAAAGTCGTTAATTTTCATGTTCTACTTGACGTGAAATGACTAAAAAGAAATGATTCGCATTGCAATTAAAAACTGTTCAATCACAGCCTTTATCACATCAAATGTCAGAAAACGGCGGATGCCTCTTGTATGCATAAAATGATGTGAGTTTCTGTGGGAGAAGTTTCAAAAGGATTTGTCTTTTATAGTGAAAACATCAAACTAGTGTCCAATCGTGTATTTGAATGTTCCTAAAATGGAACACAACAAAGTAACAAAATTGGTGTTTGTTCTAGTGGCTATTTTATTAGTGCAAATTGATTTAGCTAACACAGCGGTAAGAGATTCAAAATTATGTAAATTTAAATAGTTAGACATACATTTCAATTCCCCGATTGAACGCGAAATGTGTTACAAATTTTAGTTGACAATGAAACAGTTTGAGAAAACATTGGAAGTTTTTCGCAATGCATGTCTGCCAAAAAGCGGTGCGGCCGTTGGTAATATTTTGAAATTGAAAATCACAACACTTTTTATTTAAAAAAAAAAATCATCTGTGGATTTCATTTTATTGAAGAAGCGGTTGACGCACTGAAAAAGGGAGTATTCCCAGATGACGACAAATCGCTGAAGGTAAAACAAAAACTTTGTTGTGCAAATGGGTAACATGAAAAAAATATCAGAAATTCATTGTTTCGTACTCTTTTTTCTTTCTACTTTTACGTAGTGTTACGTTTACTGTGTGATTGAAATGGGGGGTGTCGTAAGTATGCCTCAGGTGACTACCGAATGAAATGAATTACTGAAGCATTTGTTTTCGATTAAAAGTTGTCAAGGAAAAAGGAAGTCATCGATGCAAAAATGGAAACACAGGCTCGAGTTATTCTACCGCCGGAATTACAGGAGTTCGCATTGAAGGGATGGGAGAATTGCCGTACCGTTCGTGAGTTGTTGAAGCAATTTTTCGACACATGTTGCTTTTCATTTTCATACGATAAATTATTTCATTACAGCGAAACAGTACAAAGACCACTGCGATCGAATTTATTACACAGTCAAATGCACTTACAACACGGACCCATCCAAATTCACATTCGCATAAATTTGTAGCGAAATCATTGATGCAACAATAATGAATATAACTTCTACAAACTAACGCCAGAAGCCAGAAAATTCCTCTAATCTTTAGTTCTTCTATTTATGTGGATAATTCGATAATTGTTTGAACTTTGTGTTGTTCGAACAAATGAATAGCATTACACCAGACACCATTAATAAAACAAAACATTTTGCAATTTCAGATAAGACACATAGAATTACATTTTGCTAGACATTTTGAGTCATCCAGGTGAATGACAATGTTGTGTGATAGCATTCACCGTGCACATGTGCAATTATAGTTGTCTTTTTTGTCATATCATTCATCAAACGTCGGAAGCTCAACAAATGATTGAAACAAATGATGCCTGCAAATGAGTCGCAGCTTTTTTTCTCTCTTTTTTCTATCCATTTGGTTGAATGAATATGATAAACTTGAATATCATTTACTTGGAATCAAATGGCAGTACTGCGAATGACAGGGACGATATTTAGATTCTCATTATAGATACTTTTTGCTCCATTTTTAAGGGGCGACGTAGCACATTTTCCACCGCGAAATCTTCAAGGCCAAGTGAAACAACACCACATGATAGAAGCAGTTCATCTTTATACGTACTTCTCTTTGTATTCATCTATTTATAGCGTTGTTATGACATTGAAATAAAAAAAACACAGAGTTCTCTTTGATAGCGCCTTTTTCTTTAATTACACCATCTGTTCGTCTCGTATGAATGGATTTCATTTGCTTTATTTTATCAACTGAAACATTCTGCTACTCCATAGGTTTTTTTCTCGGTTCTTTTTATTGCAATAAAAAGAAATCATCACACACAATACAAACTTTTCCAAATTGAAGAAAAAAAAATTTCTTGCATATGGAATAAGAAAAAAATAGTCTTAATTCTCAAGTCTACCATATAAAATATAAGAAACTAAGAAAAGATTTTTCCAAATTTACGAAAAAAAATTTCTTAAATACGGAATAAGACTTCAGAATTAAGATTATTTTTTTCTTATTCCATATGCAAGAAATTTTTCTTCTTAAATTTGGAAAAGTTTGTTTTATGTGCACACAGATAGATAACGTTTTGCTTGATTGGTCATTCAATTTATGGTTGTTGTGATTTCATTTCAGCCCTCTCATTGATTAATGGTTTCAAACGTGGTAGAATGGTGACACGTGCTCAAACTGTTATAGTACGTATGTTCGAAGCAATCTGCAATTGCACAACTCAAACAGCTGCTACACTACCAGGCCGTGTATCAACACGATCGCAATCAGTTAGCAAATAAATCAAAATATACAACAATAAATTTTGATGAGCTTCGTACACATTTTTTGCTGTAGACCAGGAGAAACAAATACAAACAAATATCTCCTAACACACTCCAAAGAAATAATTTATTTGAATTTATAAAGAAAGAAAATATTTTATTTAAATGTGTTTTTAATCAATGTTCTGTCTTGTGCTGGATCAATTTCATGAGATGGACACACAGCACAACAAATAACAAAACTTGATCAAATACTTAATGATAGTAGCTAATAAATGTTTACACTTATCCGTAACCCTTCAATAATGTGCCCTTCACTATTAAAACCATTTACATGTACATTTATTTGAAAGAAACTAAAGTAAAAAAAAAAATTGATACATACAATCAATATATCAATCCAGATTAGCTGTTGTAAATTTGTTACTTCGAAACTTTGAACAATTTTATGATTTCTCATTCAATCACCTATATCTATGTGAAAACAATCAATGGTTTAATAAGTCTTTTAAAATATTTGTAAAATTTTTACCATTTTATTATATGATGTAAGCTGAAATTCGGAAATTGAATTTTAGGCAATATACCAGTTTTCCAGAGTAATAATATATTGTACACCCGCTATACTGAAGAAACTAAATAAAGAAAAACAATCCAACTGATTGGTGCATGGAATCGAAGCGTTTTTATTGAACATCGCGGTGAAATATTAAAAAAGAATACCTTCCGAAACACCCGGTCTTGGTGTGACATATGGATTGCGCTCTGGCGGCGTTTCGATGTATCAAACCCAACAGATGATTTGATAAAGCGAATCAGTTGAATTTGACGTTGACATTAGCGAGTTCATTCAAAACAGATACACATACCTATGCATCATCAAACACCATCACACATACACTCACCCATATCACGACAAAGTCATTGTCGTCGTCGTCATCGTTGCAAATGTTGCTAAAAAAACAAATGCTGTGCAACAACAATGAATCGCCCCTCGTTAATAGAGAATGACGGTGTTCATGCTGCGCATTGACTCACACAATGACAGGTTTGTTGCGCACGGCGTTGAATCTATAAGTGTGCCATCGGTGCTGCTGCTTCGGCTGCTACTGTTGGAAAACGATTGAACGTGTGTACGTACACATTACGATACAGTGTAGTGGCTGAGTATTTGGTTCACTGAATCAAACACCACTCCAGCTCCATATACTCTTCATGACTTTTCCCATTGATCGAAACGTTCGAGTCGAGTAACACAGAGACTGCACTCGTGACTTACAATAACATTCGTGTGTATTACACCTTTTTTTTCTTCTTTCAAATAATATCGCCTCTTTTCTGCTGTTGTTTTTTTTTCTCTCATTTGCTGTTTTATTTTGTGTCGTTGCGTAGTGGTTTCTCTCGATCTCGGTCGATTTTTAACAAGTGTAAATCATTTTTATAGCATTCACCTTTGTTGCTATTTTTTTTTTTGTTGCGCTCTGAGAGTGATGTGTATAGATTTTATTTCGTGCCGAGAAATTCAGAGTCAAATATCATGCGAAATGGATTACTGTTTGTATTGCCTGAGCAACAATCATGTGAACTGGAATCGGTCGGAATATTCCAACACAGAATTTATTGAGTTTAATTAAGAAAAATGCGCACAAATTTTATCAATACAACCAGATCAAGTTGTGCATTCCAATGAAGTGATACATTGTTTTATTAAATGTCGACTTAATGTTTTTGTTCATATATTTTGTGTGTGATAAAAAAAATTGTGTAGAGAGCCTTTCATATTTTTTTTTTTCTTCATCAATTCGTATTATTGTTGTTGTTATTGTCGTCATCACCAATACAGTGGTGCGCCTGTCATTGTGACACATATGTGTTATACGTCTATAGTGAAACTCGTCGATACAATTGTGTTTGCACACACGAATACACACACACACGCAAGCACACATATACACACACAGTTGCACAACCACATCGATAGTCAAGTGCCATCTAGTACGCATTCGACGAAAAAATCTCAATCTTTTCACTATCGATAAGAAAATGTCTGCATACGCAAGGAAAATTGACGTTTGTTAGAAGAAAAAGTGCTAGCTGTTCAATATGAACGCAACAAAAATTTCGCTTCGAACATATTTTTCCGTGTTTTAATATCAATTTGTTCACCATTCGTAATTATTAACGAAATGGGAACTCGTGCTAAAGTGAACGAATTGACTTTTTTCATCGTTGATTGAGTGTAAAGTAGAAAAAAAGAAAGAAAAAAATATTTTTTCTCTTCATTTCATGCTTTGTCCTAAATGAATCGACCAAAATCAATTGGAATATTTTCCCGTGTCCTTTTTGTGTGTTTATTGTGCGCGCGTATGTGTGAATGAGTGTATGCATGTAAAATTCAAATCTGAATTTTCGAAAAAATATGAAAGAAAGTGATTGAATGTGATGAAATGTTCGACGAAAATTATGGAAAATGTTTTTGTAGATTATTATTATGTTTTTTTGCCCGTTCGTATGCAATACACAAAAACCGACCAATTTATTATGATGAACGACGATAAACCGTGCGGGTCGACGGAAAACTGTGGAAAAATATGGCAGACTAAGTGCTGTGTGTAATCCAATTAAATTGTATGTTTTATTTTTCTTTCTCTAGCATCGTTAGATTAACATTAGCACCGAAACAAAATGGAATGTGAAAACGAGGAGATGGATGTGTTTAGTGTATATATACAATAGTATTAACCAAACAACAGCAACAGCAAATTTTACCTAGGAAAATAAAAATAAAAGAAACGATGAATCGAAACGGGACTCAACACCCAGAACATCGTTGAACATCAAAAAGCGAAAGCGACACAAAAGTTAGAAAAAATTTAATTAAACACGAAAATCATATGTTTGTGCGCGATTTTCGTATATCAAGTGAAAGCAACAACAGAAATTGAAAGAAGAAAAAAAATACATAGAAAAAGAAAAAGAAGAAGAAGTAATTATCTCAGTTCTGAAAAAAAAAAAAAAAATAGACGAAATCATCAAGCAAGAACGTCGACGACGACGACAACGACGCTGCTGCCATTCTATATACGATAGTACCGTGTATTTGAACAAGGACAAGTGTGCTCGTATATGTTGTATGTGCGTCAATGTGCAAAAAGTGAGGATTTTGCCCAAAAAAAGAAGAGAGCGAGAGAAAAAAACAGAATCAGCCGTAGAAAAGTCAACATCAAAAAGCAAATAGAAAATAATTCAATTTGAATACGCGCACGTCGGGACATACTAAGCGACAGCACCTCGCACACAATGGATTGCCATCAAATATTGAGCGGCGCTTGCAATGTGGGCGACAAATGCTTTGCAATTGGTTCGGTTGAGGGAATCAATTTTACAGTGAGTACATACTATCTACATAGAATATTCTCTGTTTTTTTTTTTGTTTTTTTTTTCGATGACCTTTTTCAAATGGCAAGAAGTTTTTCATTAACGCTCATCACACAGTTTTGATTGGATGCGTTTTCAAATTAGATATACACATCCGTTGCCCAGTGTCTCTTCATGTTCTGTTATTTCTTTTTTTGTCTTCGTTTGTTTTGTTTGCTTCATTTTATTCTATATCACCATAGCGTTTCGTTCTTCGTTCGCAGTTTTCCTCGATTCGTTTCGATCTTTTGCAACAATTTATACAATGAAATGCTCTCAACACACGCTCAAAAATTATGATCTACATGAAATTGTTTTTTTTTTTTTTCTGTATGACATTATATAAATAGAAACGATCTAGAGACAATAATAATTGGTTCAATTTAATTTAACTGACACACAGAGTGGATAGCGCTTTTTTGTTATTGTTGCTGCTGCTGTTGCTGCTTCTCTCACCCGCTCTGTGGCATTTTCGTGTTCGCGTTCTCGTTGTGGCTTTGCTGCTGAAGCTAATTTGTACGCGAATCCATTGGACATTGGTGTGTGATATATAGACTACGTTTATGTATGCATAGCGAGATATAGTGCCGATATGTATAATCAACGAGCAATGGACAGAGAGCAATAAGCGATATGTCATTGAAAATATTATTTATATACATGGGGGGCTACAAACACAACCGTAAACGCAATGAAAACGGCTCTGACATATCTCACACTCCACTGCTACACCGCGCGCGCTATCTTCACCAATGACTGACTGATATACAGTTGTACTATATATCACATTGTACAATGTACATACGGTCTATAGTAAATGTGTTTTTTTTTTGCTGTTGAATTTGAATTTGAACGTGTGCTCAGCTTCACAGCGGTGGCTCGTGTTTGCGTAAATTTGAATAGGATCAATGTGACTGACTGCTATAAACGATCCCAAAACAATTTGTTTCTAGCTAAATTTTTTTCACTTAATTTGCGAGCTATGTACTGTGTGCTTTTTTTCTCTTTCTCCATTGAATTTTATAGTTGTCTCTCGGTCATTTTGGCTTCGATCGTGTCGGGCTTAGATAAAATTGTAGTTCAGCTGTAATGCTGACAGTATGAATTTCGTTAAAAAAAAACTGGGTTTTTCTATCACATTTGCTTGGGTATCTGAGCTGCACGCAAATGTACAGCAAAAGCGAAAAAGCAGGTGTGTGTTTTTCTTCTTTTTGCAATATAGCAACAGAGGATAAACCCTTCATTTCAAAAAGTCAATTAACATTTTTGTTCTATTTCTATTCACGACTGATTATTGAATTTTTGCACATAGTATGGATTAATCACTTGATTGTCTCATAAAAATGAGGTGCTCTGTTTTTTATTCTTGAGATGACATATCAACCACAAAGATAATTTGATTTGTTATCTCTCTGCAATAGGCGTTTTACGATCACATTATCAATTTATATTGAGACACGTAGACGAAAGAAAAGAAAAACATGACAACAAATGAGCGAAAGAGTATTTCGAATGGGGTTTTACTTTGAATGAAGAAGAAGAGGAAAAAAAACAAATACCTCAAGAAATCGTCATGATTCGACACAAATCGTACGAATCACACTTGTTGTCTCAACTGACTTTAGACCAAAAAGATAATTGTGTATAGAAGAAATGCGTAGCATTGAAAAATTAAATAATTTCTAGTTCAACTGACTATACCGACCGTATATTAGTTTTCGCGCGCGTGTCGAGAGCAGAGACTTGAATTTTGATCAAATACACATAGAGGCTCAATATGTGCACACTTGATCGACGCAATAAATGGCATTACATCAAAAATGGCAAAACACAATCAATTTAATTAATACCAGCATAATAATACCAGCTTCCATTGCTGTTCGAAATGCGAATTTTGCGATACACAGCGAAAAGAAGAGCGTGCAAGACATTGGAAATGATTGAGAGACAGAGAGAAAGAGGGTAGAAATACGTCGTTTTTACGACTGTACAATGCAAAATCACACAATTTGACAAGCTCATTTTGTGATGCAAATGGGTATCTTTATAATCAAAAACAAATAAAATATCACATCGAATGTTATGTCGCCGTCAATTTATCGTCTCGTTTTGTGTAAATAGCGCATTTCCAGTGCACGGTCGCGAGCGTGCGCGTGAGCACTCTCATTCCAAGTGAATTGCATATTGTTTATCACTTGAACGACGACAACGACGACGACGACAATGCGCACATTCATATGCCCGTTGAATTTCAAATTGAAACTGTGCAACGCAACGAGAGAGAGAGAACAAGGATGAGAGTGACAGAGACATACGAAAGAAAACAATAGCAGCAGTGTCGTCCCATACAATTCGGATCAACAATGATTCGAGTATGGCACTGACTCACACACACACACACAGATCAGGCTAGTTCAATCTAACGAATAGGCAACTAATAACATATCCAATATCACATGCCCTGCTATCATATACAAACAATGATAAATGCCATTGCGTTCAAAACGAAACAAGAACGACAAAACAAGAAACACACAGCGTTTTAAAGCTCACTGAAACGATTAACAGTTTACATCGATGACAAAATATAAATACAAACGACGAAATGTTCAACAGAAAAATTCCCGTAACCAATTGTTGAAGTAGGTGACTAATATACGAATGTATCGATAGCCCAGAGGTTTCATTGAATGTCAGACGAATTCGCTAAGCGTGGCAATTTTTTGCAAACCAAGAGAATAATAGATGGGGAAAAAAACGAAGAAGACTGGCACAAAAAAATTATATCGCACTATATTTGATTGACATTTATTATTATTGATGGCCAAAAACGAATGGAAACAAAACGGGATATTGAAAAAGCACAACAAAAAAATCTACTCTTCGCGTTTCATTTTGGAGAGAGAGAGAGAGAGAGAGTGTGTGTGTGTGCGCTCAATTGTTGATTGTTTGCAATGCCCATTGGTCAGCCATTCTTATATTGATCCATTACTTTTATTGAATTTTATTGACTTTTAATGCGAGCTCATGTTTTTGTTTTCAATACGGTCGTCTCAACGCCTCGTGTAATGGGACATTGATTAATCAATATTGTGTACTGGCACTGCTTATGTATTTGACGTGCTCAAAACACAATTTTGGACAAATTTTTCGCTCGCTCTGCTTCACACTCTTCTTCGTTTAAATGTTTATGTTCGATCATATATGGAACGTAATGGTTCCGAATGATGGCATTCTCCATTCAGCACGCTAACTGCATGATCAGCTGACTCGTTTTTGGCATTTTATTTTGTGCCAAAACGAATAAAACAAAGAAAAGGACAAACATATGTCGAAAAAAATGCACATTCGTTATGCTTCGAAAATAGCCAAACAAAAAGTACATAAAATTCTGTGTTCGGCGAGCTGCAGTAAAGTTTGACCTCGTACAATTCGATTGTGCTGTGTGACAACGATTACCGCAAATTTGATTTAAAGCCGTCACTCAATCGATAAACATGTTAAGTATGCTTAGCCACTAAATTAAAAGTTCTAATTGGATTCTGTAATTGGTTTCGGTTCTTACCGAATCGCTACGCTTCAAATCGTTTCAGTATTAGTAACAGAATTTTTCAACTCTATGCGCTTTAAACTCGCTGGTGTGCAGGGTTTGGTTTTTTTTCTTCTTCTTCTTTACTGCTTTTGTTGCTTAATAAAAAAAACTTTCACAAATTCATTCGATTGGTACGCACACACACACACACACACACACACACAAGCAAACCAGATAGAACTGATTTGCTCTGATTTTTTTTGTTCAGTGTGGAGACTCGCATTCCGTTTGCAATATTTATTGCCGCAGTTTGTTCATTAGTTTTGCCATATTCGTTAGTGTAATGCCATGAGCGAAGCACAAAAAAAACGTGGCGTTTCATTTTTATGTACTTCATGTAGTGTGCTCGTAGCAGATTCACTGCTTTTATTCTCTCTCTCTCTCTCTCTCTCTCTCTCTCTCTCTCTCTCTCTCTCTCTTGCAAAACTATGTAAACAATTCGATCGTGAATAATGTGCGATGCGATGCGATTCGTAGGCGTTTCACACGCCGTATGCTGTGCTAACACTGGCAATAACTCTAATAAGACATTTAACAATCAACGTTTCAATTTGGCAAATTTCATATATGCTAATTCATCGGGCAGGGAGAGTGCCGACGACGATCACGAGACATCGACAAATACCAGCACGAACCCATACAATAGGTCACATGCTTCCTTATTAAATATTGAATATGGCATGAAATTAACCATATTTTTTCGTGCTTTGTCGCCAAGCAAAGTGACGAGAATGCCATCATCACACAATGATATTTACATTTGAATAGACTGCATCTGATGATATGCGATGAAGCGAGGGTGAGAAAGAGATGGAGAGAGCGAGCGAAATGTTGAATGTCAACAGTTTAAAGTTTAATCATCTGCAAATGGAAAATAAACTGCTGAACAGAACATATTTATACCAAACACTGTTTACATTGCCGCTTTAAATTTACATTTCAATTGGAATTTGGCTTCGATACAGACTTATTAATTTCGGATTATTTATCGATCTTTCTGTTGTTGCAAATTTCATTGAAATGTTGGTGTTATTCCTTCAAATAAACTATAAATATCACGGGGAAACTAAACTATGATCCGTTTGGTTTTGAATTTATTTTCAGGCATATGCAGCCGGCTGCAACATTGTAATTTTGGCGAGTACATTCGAACGTGTTCAAATCATCCCGGGCGCAACTCACAATTACATTCGAATATCAGCGCTAGACTGCAGCACCGATACGGGAAAAATTGCGGCCGCCTATGAGAACAAAGTGTGCATTTTCGAGCCAACACCATTGATTCATAGCCAAAGCGGTCCGGCACATGGACTGGAATATCGGTAAAACCATTTTCTTTGCCCAAAACTGAATGTGTCTCAAATTCTCAAATGATTATTTCTTTCAGATGGGTCCAAACTGGTTCACTCCAAGCCGATTCACACATCAGTTCACTGTCATGGAACCTCGAAGGTACCAGACTGTTGACTGGTGGTGTCACCATTCAAATGTGGCACGAACGAATCACAAACAAAGAAGAGGACCCGGCAAGTAAGTTAAACAATAAAAACTAGATGTTAAATTGCAAAATCTGTGGCGCAGCACTAATGAGCACGAATGATACTCACACACACACAAAACTGTTTCCGAATTCGATTTTAGCTGTCACATTTGAAATAGGGGGTGGCGGCAGTGATCGTGGTGATCCAAAAACACCAAACAATGAAGAGGAACCAGAATGGGAATGCGTATGGAAATGTCATACGGCAACGCCGGTACATCATATGTCATTTAGTCCGGATGGCACACTGTTCGCAACGTCCGGTAAAAGTGATCGTTTGGTAAAGATTTGGTATGAAAACAAAAATGGTGAGTTGAATAAAGAACAAGAGTGAATTTTCGTCAAATTCGGACAGAAAAAAATTACAAATTGATTAATGATTGTTTTACTCCTGGTTTCAGTGCTCTTCCCGAACAAAAGTATGGATCAAGCGCACTTTGGTTCGATGGCATCGAACGGTCAAGTTGAGTTAAACTATGGGTTTGTTTACATAGCGCATCCACGGGCTGTTACCCATTTGTCGTGGCGAAAGACCAGTAAATACATGCCAAAAGGTTCCGTATCGAATATGCTCGTCACATCGTGTTTAGATAACATATGCCGTATTTGGATTGAAACCGTTTTGCCCGACGATGGCCTAGTGAATATGAATCAATTCGATCCGTTGGCAACACAAAACCCCAAATTCCGAACACATCGACATAAACATCGATTTATGCAACGTCTCAAACACATGAAGACGTGTTTCCACATTCGACGCCATGCAAAACACCACAATGGCAATACCCATCATATTGGTCAAACGGTGGGTTCTGTGTATGGTTCAACACTTGCAAATGGCAATTTTGGCCAATCGCCAATTCCATCGTTACCATCAACGTACAGTGTACATGATTTTCATTCGTATGGTTACCATGGCACTGGAGTCACGCCCGGTTTGCATTTCCATTTGGCCGCTTCGATCAACGCTGAAACCGACATACCTCTAGTCCCGTCGATGCAATCGAACGATCCATCGAATCAACCGAATTTCATTTTACACTGGCTCAACAACAAAGAGATGCATTTCACTATGCAAGCCGAATCCATACTACAGGAGCTCACGCGAAAAGTCATCGAAAAAGAGCAAATGAATAATATATCGAGTGGCACCAGTGAACACAATTCCGATGGTCATGATGGGCACGAACAGAGTGAACCACATCAACAGCAACCACATCCGTCACAAAACCAACTATCGGCTGAAGAGCCAAAAAGACGTTTTGGTAAAAGTCAGAAATCATTTTCGCACGATGAAAGTAACAGCGACGATCATCTGGGTCATTCGGTTAAATCGGGCGGAGCATCACAAGCTGGTCTTCACAGTCATCATTCGTTATCGAATACGACATCGTTAAATTCATTGGCTACAGATCATGGTGGTGCAGCTAATGTTCCTGTCACCGATTCACTGGATATGAAAATCGAATGTCTTCTTCGCGATTGGCATCACAGTCCGGATTTATTGTTTTCAATCCATCCAATCGATGGAAGCTACTTGATTTGGGTCGTTGAATGGCTCGACGAATACCATCCCGGATCGTTTAGACAAGCGCAAATTTCATTTTCAACACGAATACCATCCGGTTTTCCGCTAGGAGATGCAATGTCAATGTCAACTTCGGTTAACCTCTACAATACCGGCGGTCATTTATTACATTTTCGTGAAATGGTGAAAGGTGTACCTAGTTCAGTAGTTAGTCAAGCGGCAGCGAATATGGAAAATCCCGGCGATCCAACGACACCGTTGCCCAGCGTGCAAGAAGAATCAGAGGAGCAAGCACAACAAGAGGAAGGCAGAAAAAGTGTTACGAAAACAGTCAATGCAAATCAAAACGCTGCCGGCGATGGATCAGAAGAGGAACAACCACCGGATATATTAACAGCTCCACCGTCGCCAACCATATCAATGGTAACCAAACATGCGAACGGAACGTTGAACTTATGGCAACTCACCTTCGCCGATAAATCGAAATTCACTCAGGTTTGTTCGTGTAAAGCATTCAATTGTTGTCGGTTTCAATTAACATGTGATGTTTTTTTTTCATTTCTTCTTCAGGTTCTGAGTATAGGTCACGTGTCACGTGCATCAGGTCATCGTTTCCGTGTCAACGACATCACTTGTCATCCAGTGTTGCCGTTGCTGTTAACCACATCTCATCACAACATTCCAGATACGCCACCCGATTCGAATGCCCCTTACAGCCCGAATCTGTTCACACCAAATAAAGGAAAAGACGTTTGTGTACCAACTGGTTTTTGTTCCGAGTTGATTTTGTGGCGTGTCGATTCCGTTGGACCACTTGCACAGTCCGGAGGCGTTGAAGAACTGGCACGAATCAATTCATTGGAAATATCTGCATTCAGTAATGTCGCTTGGATTCCAACCCTATTGCCGAGCACAACTCTGGGCAGTTTGAGTAATTCACCATCAGCTTGCTTCGTTGCCAGTGATGGTGAATGCTTACGCGTCTATCAGGCCGTTATCGATGCTCGCACTCTCTTGGCAGAGGTATCGAGCAGTGAGCGAAAGACTCGCATGATGGATTCCATGGTATCATTGTCGTCAGAAGGTTCATCCGATAATGCTGCTCCACAACAGCCATGGCATACGAAAATTAAAATCGTTTCGCAACAATCAACAGCTCGTCCCGGCTGCATAATCCAACTGGATGGCATTGATGATGCAACGCACGATTGGCAAAACACACAATTCCTACACGTTTTCCAAGAGCAGCTCATAACTGGCGAACGAAACGAGGTCCGAACCATTCCGGTGGCCGAAAACTTCGATTTGGGCCTCATGGAAAATCAAATGAGCGCAATAGTCGATCTACAACAGAATGCAGTATTTGAGGAACCATTTTACATTGTTTTAATCGAACGTACAACGAACGGAAGCACCATTCATATGTGGCGCATTGTGATTGCATCGCAACCCGAAACGAATGATTTAACTGAAAGCACAATGTATGTACCTGATGGGAATTTGGTTCAAGATTTAGACGAACCCGATCCGACTGGACGTCGACAATCACTTGCCGGTTATAATTTAAATAACGAAGGAAAAGTGTTCAATGCCGCTGAAGCTCCGCATGTTAGTATTAAAACGACAAAAGTATGCACACAAGAGTTACCATTGCCCGAAGGAGTTGATGTGGTTCATGCATCACCGGCTGCCGGCCATTTAAGTTCATCGTCAATTTATCCAGCTTGCTTTGCGCCGTATATCATTGTGACGGCTTGTTCAGATTCAACATCACGTTTTTGGCGTTGTAAAATCGTTAAAAATGGCGACGCCGACGATGCGAACGCATTTGCAACGCGTGACAATTGCAAATACGAATGGTGTGAATGGGATATGTTGAGCCGTGATCGTGAATCGACAATTGAAGTGCCGGGACAACCGTTGCACATAAGTGCCGCATATTCGGGACGAATTGCGTGCGCTTACAAGTATGGAAAATCATTTACGCGTCCACACAAAGGTGATCCAGATTCGCGATATGTTAATTTGTGCGTAGGAATTTATGAGTGTGAAAGTACCGGTGGCAGTGAGTGGATCCTTGAAGATACAATCCATTTGAAGAATGTTCATTTGCCGCGCATCAACCTCGATCCACATTTGGATTTGAGCTATTTGCATGACCGAAGCATGCTGCAGAAGAAGCAAAAGTTAACACAAGTTATTCAGAATTTGACACATGATGAATCACGATCACCACGAAACGGTGAGGTTACACCGGACGGTTTACCAAAACCGAGCACACTGTTGGCCGTTCCAAGTTTCAGTACGTTGCAATCGTTGCGACGAAGTATCATCGAAAATGGCAATACATGCCCGTTGACACAAAAGCATTTGGTGCAATTGGATTGGGTGTCCAAGGAAGATGGAGCGCATATATTGACTGTAGCTGTGGGTAGTAAAATTCTATTGTACACATCAGTGTCTAGTGATTTAGCACAAGCAAATATTAAAGCAATGAAAGAATCACAATCATCAAATCGGCCACTGTTGCGAAAAGCCAGCTCATTGGCACAGCCCCATTTTAATGATGAAATCCGTTGGATGAAATTGCGTCAGATTGAATTGCACACGGCCGACGGTTTGCCACCGTTACCGATGCAATTGTCATGGGTACGAGACGGAATTCTTGTGGTCGGTATGGATTCGGAAATGCACGTCTATTCACAATGGAAAGCGCACAAAAATGCAAACAACATCGATATGGAAGATATTCAAGACACAAGAAATTTACGCGATGAAGATCTACGAACGATGGCCAATGAGAATACACAGCGACGTATGGCGTCTGCTGCATCAATTACACATTTGAATCGAGCCGTTGGTTCGATGACTTTGCCAATACTGTCGAATGATAAGAAACGCAAATTGGGCCCAGCCACCAGTACCAATCAATTGAATAACCTCGATCAAGGACGCATTCATGATTACATGCCCGATTTTGGTCTGTTTGAAGCATCACGAATTGCATGCCCCGTTCTGCCACAGTATCATCCGAAACAGCTGATGGAACTGCTCAATTGCGGTAAAATCCGATGGGTCAAAGCGATTTTAGCGCATTTGGTTCGATGCATCAGCGGAACCTACATTAATCGCTCGAACGGAAACACCAGTGGAGATGAAGAAAATATCAATCATCAGGTATTTTTTTCGCCTATTAAATGACAAAGGGTAACGCAACACAAATCGTTTCTTAATCGTTTCTTCGATAACAGAATACCAAAACTCATGCCATTTCTCATCGAAATACAATATTTCATACTGAATTCTAGTTGAAAAAATCAGACGAAAACGAATATCACAAAGCCGTTATCATGTTGTTATAAATGTTTTTATCAAACAGAAAATGACAAATGACTTGAAAATCATAAACAGTAAATAATCGGTTTATCTCATTCCTCCATCACCACAACACAATCTAAATAAAAATTTTATTTTATTCTAACGTTGCGTTAATTTTGTTGCAAAATAAATTATCGCTATTTCTGGTGATCTAATCTCTCTAATTCGCGTTATTGCTAAAACAACAATACTCTGTGTTAACTTTACCTTCCCTTTTTTTAGTATGTGCTAACACTGAAAATCATACTGAATCGCCTCCTTCTCCTACGCTATACTCTATCTCTATATCTCTCCTCTATCTGTTATCTATATATCTATCTGACAATTTTTCCATTAAAAAAAAGAACAACACCACCACCACCACCACATCAACACTTAATGTATACTCTGACCCGTATATTCAGTGCGTTCCACATTCTCATTTGTATAGCTTAATTCATTTTCTTCTATTTTTTTGGCGAAAAAATAATTTCTATATAGCCATATAACACACAAAAAACAAATTCGGTACAAAATTCTCTTAATTTTTATTTTTTTTCCCATCGAGATGATTCGAAAAATTAATTTTGTTTAAAATATTGCTAAACGAAGAAGGTTCATTTTACGTTTTGAATGAATGCTAGATGTTAGTGTCAAACGATGCACACAATACAGAAAAGCGAGTGCATTTAAAATGTTTTAAATATTTTATTTCGAATAATTTCGTGTGGCATGACGATATAAATAGCAAACAAACGAAAATATAGCTGATTGTTAGTTGAATATTATGATGAGCATTTTGTGTGCATTTGTTCTATTCACAAAATTACGAAAATGAAGAAGAAGAAGAAAAAACGAGAAAAAGACACGAATTATTATTTGTTTTTCTTCTGTAAATTGACTGAAAGAACACACCAAATTTAGCAATATTTTGAATGGATTGATTTGATTTGCAGCGAGGTTGGTCGAGATCTCGCACATTGTCTGTGAGTTACGTTGCTGGCACCGCAAGTCCTTTAGAACAAAGAGGATCTACAACACAGGTGTGAACATGATTATTTTGTTTTTATTTTAGTTTTTTTTCTCTTTTTTTATTGTTTTTTTTTCACTCTCTTTTTATTTTTATATTTAATTTCCGTTGCATTTTGTCTTTAAAATATATATATGAATGAACTCTTCTTCCTTCTTGTTACTGTCATGTGTAATTCGTGCGGTGAAATAGATGCTCGATGAAAATGTCAAGCGATTCGAATTGTTGTGAAAGTGTGGATTTGATTGAATAAGTCAACAGTTTGACATTTTCTTCGGTCAATTATTTTCATACATTTTTATATATTCTTTCGTTAATGCCTTTTATGGAACTAGCGCTTCATTATGATTTCGTGCCTGCGAGGTCGATGTTGATTCAGTTAAACATCTTGATTTCCTCTCTCAACGACTCGTTCAATTTCTTTCAAATGTTTTTTTTTATTTATCTGTTTGGTCGCGAGATAGACAATTTCCGTATGTACATTCAAAAACCAATTATTCTGAACGTTAAATTTAACATTTAATTTTAATCGCTTCTCTACATTTTTTCTAAACCAACCAACCAACCAACATGGATTGAGTAGAATGTTTGAAGCATGCCGTAGAATTCCCCATTTTATTTTACTGTAAACAAAACCCAATAATGAATAACATTGATCTAATTTGTTTCCTTTACAACGGTAGTTTAATACAAAATGGTTAAACAGAATCCCAAACATACAGTAATTGTGTGTGTGTAAGTGTGCGAAACCAAATTTGCCAAACCGCACACAAATATCCAATTTTATCGTTAAACAATCTAGATTTTAAACCAAGTGGAGCATGAATTGTATATACTAGAATAGAGTAGAGTAGAGTATAATCTCTTGTTTAATCAAATCAATCAATAATAATTATCAAACAGTCAATCATTTTTCATACAAAAATGAAATCACTCGCAGCCAAAACATATCGAAAATGTGCTGTTCTCTTCGGAATAATAACTTTCAATACAAAAAAAAAACCGTTTCAAACAATTTAAAAACAAATATTTCAAAATTGGCATTTTCGGAAGTAGAAAAAAAAAACTTAGATTAAAATAACAATGGGATCAGAAAAATAATATTGATTGATAATTTTTCAAAATCATTTTCGAGCATTTAACAAACAAAATTTACGAATCGCAAAACTTAAATATCATTTTCAATTTCTCATCTAAATTCTCGTAACCCAAAAATAGCTTCCTGAAGAGTTAACACTTGATTATGCGGAAATTACATCGATTCCTCCGTTGCCACTGTGGACACTTTTGGCTGCTGACCGAGAACAAAGTCAATCCAAACAGAATGAGGGAGAGAAAAAGGTAGGCATACATTTGATTTGAACAGCGATTTTTAAAATCACATTGTCTCATTGTATGTCTAATTGCAACGTTTGCTCATTAGGATTACAACGATTTGTTTGATTCGAACTTGGATAATGAAGACAATCTGGACGATTTGCTGGAGGATGATGGTGATCGTCAACAAAGATTCGACGCACGTCGACCGTCGTTGCCAAGTGAACGGCAAAGTTTATCGCATTTCGGACCGCGTCAAGGTCAACTCATATCACGTTTGTTGACTCACACTCACTTGCCCGGTCTATCATCGCTTGATCAAATGCATTTATTGGCATTAGCCGACACCGTTGCCACGTGCAACACCGATTTTGCCGAACGATTCATTAACGATGCTGCAAAGACGGCTATATCAAAGGAGAACCTAACGGGTGTTCCGGAAAATGTTAGCACCGATTCACTGGATGATTGTGGTCTTCGCTTCTTGCTTGCAATGAAGCATTATACCTATTTGTTGCGATGCTTACCGCTTGCACAACGAACGCAATTCCAAAAACAAGGTGTCGTTTCATCGAATGTCGTGTGGGCTTTCCATTCAGAAAGTGAAGAAGAAATCCTCAATCTGATTCCATCGTATGCAAAAGATCAGTTGAGATGGGCCACGTTGAAAGAGCTTGGCGTCGGTTGGTGGTTGAGAAACAACTCTTTGCTGCGTAGATGTATCGAAAAATTGGCCAAATCGAGCTATCAAGCCAAACAGGATCCAATGGACGCCGCTCTGTATTACATTGCGATGAAGAAAAAATCGCTGGTCTGGGGTTTGTATCGATCGAGAAGAGACGAGAAGATGACAGCGTTCTTTGCGAACAATTTCCAGGAGGATCGCTGGCGAAAGGCTGCACTGAAAAATGCATTCGCCCTGTTGGGAAAACAGCGATTTGAGCATGCCGTGGCATTCTTCTTGCTGGCCAATTCATTGAACGATGCTATTGAAGTTTGCCTAACCAAATTGGAAGATTTGCAATTGGCTTTGGTTATCACGCGTTTATACGAAGGTGAACATGATGCCACACCGCCGAGCTACAGAAAATTACTCTACGAGGAGGTTTTAGGCTGTGACAGCGATGGAAACAATCAAGACATTAGCCGTGCACATCCAGATCCATTCTTGCGATCGATGGCCCTTTGGCTGCTGAAAGACTATTCGGGCAGTTTGAATACACTGCTGTTGAACAATGTTGGTTTGAATCATCCCAGCCATATGGATGATGATCCATTTTTGCGTTCCGATTCAAATCAATCCACAAATCCGAATGTATTCAACTTCTATATTTATCTGCGAACGCATCCGCTTCTAATTCGTCAGTACATTGCATCGACGGCACAAGAAAAGAAGAAAGCACAAGTGGTGTTGTCTGGTTTCAGCTACAGTGGTGGTGAAAATACACAGGCACCGACGAAAATTTGGGGCGATCGTCAAATACAAATCGAAGATTCGATCACACCGCTGGAACGGCAGTTATACTTTACAACCGCTCATGGTCATTTCAAAGCCGGTTGTCCGGCACTAGCACTTGAAGTGTTGAGCAAATTACCTTCGAAGGTTATCGAACCGGATGAACCAAGCCAATTGAATTCACCATGCGATGAACTGCATGCTGAATTGATTGATACTGGCATTTTCTCGGATCAAAAAGGCAAAATCGAGAAGGCACCACCAAAGATCGAAAGTACTGACTGGGGAGCACCAACAACAACAGCCACCAGCAATGGATTGGACTCCGCCGATGCATTGGATTGGGGTGCTCCAGTTGCGAAATCGGCCGACGACGATTTCAAAGTTGTCTGGGATGATGATGGAGAGGATAACGATTCCGATGAGAATGACATCGGCCTCAGTATGGATGCGAACAAGGCGAAAGAAAATGAAAATAGCAAACAACCATCAATACAGGAGGATTCAAAGCAAAGCAATGGCGAACGTACGGAAATGCTCGATATTATGGCGCAACAATTGAAATTCGTGGCATGCCTGAAGATTCTCATGGAAGAACTGTCAACATTGGCAACTGGCTTCGAAGTTGACGGTGGCCAATTGAGATATCAATTGTACGTGTGGCTCGAGAAGGAAGTGGAAGCACTCAAGCAATTGTGCAACTACAGCAGCAGCGAATCCGATATTGTAGCGAATGAGGATGGGAATCAAGGCGAAACAAATGACCGTGAAACACCAATACCTGGCGCTAGACCATTCAACGATAGACCCACTTTGCACGAAATTTTGATCGCCGAAAAACAAGATTTTGAAGCGAAAGTACAGCGTGCGGCAAGAAGAAAACGATGGTTGAAAGGTAAATTGAAAATCTTTTTTTGAATCAAATGCCAAAACTTAACTCATTTAAAGCCTCCAAAAATTGGTCAAGTGATTGCCAGAAGTAGCTTTTTCTATCATTTGATTGGCTTCAAATTTGGCGTGATTCCGTTGTTCGGCAAAAAAATGAGATTCTCAAAGTTTCATGGTGATTAATAGGACCTTAGTGTATTTTGGAGACGTTTAAAATAGCAATTTTAACAATTTTCGGAGGCTCTCTCTTTATGATAATCATAAACTGAAAAGAATGCTCATTCAAAGGAGAATTGATTCTAATGAATTTTTTTTCAACAATTTCAGCAAATGAAACACTATTACGAACACTCCTCAGCTACTGTTCACTTCATGGAGCTAGCGGAGGTGGATTGGCGTCAGTGCGAATGGAACTGGTTTTACTTTTGCAAGAATTGCAACAAGAAAAGACACAGCAGCAACTACTTAGTCCACTTCCATTCCCAACCACTTTGCCCTTACTCAGTGCATGCGTTGCTGGAAATCGAACCGTTATCGCTGATCCAATACGGTATCTAGAGGTGAGTGTCTTTCTGCATTTGAGTTTTCGACATGGAGATAATTTCCCGTTGCATACTATTGCCAATTTTCCTTTTTTCCACAGGCTCAAACTCACGATATGCTTCAAACAATGGTCGGTCTGCGTTCTCCACCCATTGGACTGCAATCATCTGCTTCCGAGATATTTATTTTACGCGATTTGGCCGTTGCTTTATCCGCTTGCATTTATCAATCGTTGTGCGACTCTGATACATTTATTGTGAAACAGAGCGCTGACACAAACGGTTGCCATAGCCCCGGCATGGAAACATTGGCACGTCTAAATGCCAGCTGTCAAAGTACACATTTGATGGCAAATGCTGGTGGTAGTCGTCGCCGTCGAAAGTATTCCTCCGATGAGCCAATCGCGGTGAGCACATTGCCATCAAAATGGCCCGGAGTTACCAATTTGAGGGCGCTGCTTGCTCGTGAAAAAGACGAAGATACACCACGATTGAACGTATTACTTTGCGAAGCATTTATGGCAACATTCATGTCGTTGCTGGTTTACGGGCTGTCGACTTGCGATTGTCACATTTTGTATCGCTTGGCCGGCCAGAAATTTACAAATCTATCATGGGGCAATCTGTTTGGCGGCGGTGTCAAAAAACTACTGAGAAAAGCCAGTTCTAGGGCACACGCTACAATTCAGGAAATTTCACAAACATCACAAGACACAATCATCGAAAATGGCGAAGCAACCAATGCAGAGAGTGGCGTTTGGGGTGCAGTCACTTCGATTACCAAACAACGAGTGAAACTCAACATGAAATTGCTCGGTCATTTTGGCGGTTCACAAGGATCACCGAATATGAAAGAAGACAAACCAACCTATCGTGAACAATTCGTACCACCAGACATGTCAATGGTTTCATATTTCATGGCTAAACCGTCGATAAGAGGTTTTTTTTTCTCTTCTAATTCAATGAAAATTGTTTATAATTCGAATGTTTATTTTTCCACAGAAATTGACGACGACGAATATGATTCGGCCGATTCAATCAGCTCTGATATCGACGAAGATGAGGATGATGATGTATTCGCTGATCCATTGAACAATGATCCGAAAGCTAGTCAAGCGTCAGCTGCCGTGAAGAAACATCGCCGTGAAAATACCGAACACTCCAATCCATACTCATATTCATGGTTGATCATGCGCACAGCCATCCTGCGCATCGCTCAAAATCAATTGCAAGATTTTATCGCCGTTGCTGGCATTGAAATGCAAGGTAAACAGCAAAGAATGACATTTGAATAAGGATGAATTACACTGATCTGTTTTATTTGCAGAATTACCGGTTGCTAGTCCATTGACACATGGTGTTTTACGGAGATTGAACTCATGGATTGAAATTCTCAAAGAAGATTTGGCAATGCGCGGTCCGGCACCGATAGATTTTATTCCTGGTTGCTTCATTGAGTCCGATATTAAGGGGCCGGCAATTCACAAATATCGATCTCTGTTGGAAAAACACAATACGCCATTCAGTCCAATTCAAGCGTCCTCTGCACCAGCACGCCGGCTGTGGCATTTCCTGGTGCGACAAGAACCCGTTCAAGACATTTTCATTCGATCCGTTTTCGGTAAGAAACGTACAACATCATCGGCTGGTGACAATGCATCCGTTGCTCCATCGGTCATCAACGATGCCACTTCGGGCAGTTGTAAGTCAAAACATAGATAGTTTTCGTTCGAATGTCATGAATTTGTCTCATAAACACATCATATTTGAATTCAAAAATGCAGGCGTCGATGGACACACAAGCGATCGCGATCGCAACGGTCAACCTGTCTCCGAACCCGTTCGCATCATACACAAAGATCAAGAATCGATATCGGCATTCTGTTTGAACAACGTAAATCCCGGTCTTATTTCATTGTCAACGCCAAGAGAGGTGCAGGAAATGGATATTTCGTTGTTGCTCGAATCACCCAATTGGATGGAAGACGAATGCGAACTAGATATTTTAAACTTGAACAAAGACTCCGATTTGATTCCCTCAAGCAATTTCCTCGTTATTCAAGCCTCTTCCGAAAAGTGAGTTTTTTGTTTCAGAATGCGTTTTTTTCACATATTTTTTTTCCCTAAAATTCATTCTCAATCGTTGATTTAAAACGATTTTTTGAATATTTATTTTTGCAGGAGTATTCTAAACCAAGCACAGCATGCTGCCACAAATTATGGCGTCCCGTCGAGTCCAACATCGACGATGGCTCCACAATCTGGCCGCGGAGCGTCAGTGGTAAGTGATTTTGTCACCGAACCAACCTCGATTTTAGTCAAACACATTTTTTTTTTATTACAATACACAACACACGCAACTAATCTAATTGGCTTACATCAAAAAAACAATTCACTAAAACTCCACACATTACACAATAACACACTAACAAATTTCTACTGCTTTTTATTTGGCTTTCGATTTTGGGTTTTCTCTTCTTTGTTTTTGAAATTGTTCTATTCAAACACTTTTCTTTTCTTTTGTGTGTTTTTTTTTTGCTAAAAACTTTTTATATTCAAAAAAAATTCATTTTTAGCTCTCAACACATCAAAAACTAATGCACAGACACACACATCTAATTGTTTTCTTTTATGTAATCGTCATTCATGACTAAACTATAATTCAGATGTGTAAACAAAACATTTCTGTGTGAATAGTTCAAAAATGAGTTTATGTTCCAACGAAAAATTGTACAAAAACCAATCCGCTTTATTTTCTATCCCATCTGAAGCATTTCACAATCGAAAGTTCCAATATTGAATTGATCTTCAATCTGGATCCTCTAACCGAATAATTTAAAACCATTTCCCTTGTCGGAGCGAACACTTTGTATGTTTTCATTTTTTGTGTTTTCATTTCGATTTATTATGATTTTATTCTTCGTTTTCCACATTTCATTATTTTCCTCAATTTGTATTTATCAAACAATTGCATACATCACAATCACAAACATTCATCCAACATATTTCATAGATTGTAGGAGAGGTTTTTTTGGTGACAATACATTGCCAATCAAACGATTTAAAAAAACAACAAGAAAAAAACTAACAAAATATCTCATTTTCTTCTCTCTGTGTGTAATTCACATTTTTTGTGTCGTTTCATTTTATTGCATTTGAACTAAAAACCAAACCAAACCGAACGAAACGTTAACAAAAAACACAAACAAATAATTCAAAATCAAAAAAAAAAATCACCAACTCGAAACGAAAAAAAAATCCTCGATCGCGCGCATTACGAATATCAAATCAGATTAAGGGAGCCACATTTCCGGGAAGTCATGATCCACGCTTTTGTAAACTGGTCATTGAATATTCTAAGCACTTACTCAAACCGGTACATAACAAAACAAAACATTATTTACAAACCATCCAGTTTCCAAATTATTGCAAATTCCATTTCTGTCTCTGTTTTCTTTTAATTTTGTCTTTTTCTGTTCAAATTCGAAATCTTTACTTTTTTTAATTTCATCGGCATTTATATCAATCATAATATACTTCTCAGTGTTTCATTAACTATTTTTCTTTTCTGTGTTGAACATTTTTCTTTTGAAAACGGAATTTGTAACGGAATGTGCAAATGAAGAGTAGTGTAGTTATAGCAATATTTTTTTCTAATGTAATGCCGTAGTAATGTTGGTGAACATTTATCGTAGATTTTGAAGATTTCGTTGTTCACATTTAAATCCATTCCATGGATACCGTTCGCTTAGAATGGAGCTTCAAACGATTTAGTTCTGTTTTTTTTCTCTTCTCTCTTTCGGCTGCTTTATACACTCGAACACATCCATTAGATCGACTTGATTTGTTTTATGTTCTCTTTAATGTTTGTCATCTATATGTTCCTCCTCTTACATTCTGTACAGCACATCAAGTTCTCTTTTTCTCACCATTTTTTTTGTCTTTAATTCAAAGTCGAAAGATTTGAACACGTAGAATAGCATTCTTAACAGGCTTCTACTTTGCTCTCTCGTTTTTTTGTGTGTGTTTGTGACACATTCTTGTTCACATTGTAGATTAGAACATGCAAATATTTCTCGTTTTGTACACTGCAAGAATATTTATCTAGACTTTCGTTGCCCCACCAATGCAACAAATTGTAAAAATGAAAGAAAATCGCGTTGCATTTGTTTTTTGGCGTCACACTCCGACTGTGGGCCGTTTTTATTTCCAATTAGTTAGTGATATGACATTTCTGATGGTAAAAAACAAATGCAACTGCATTAATAGTCACTGCTGTATGTATGATTCATTCCATCACAATAAATATCAGTAGATTTCAAAATTAGTTTCGATTTTCTGTGTAAATTGCATTGTGTACACACTCTACCGCATCTCAATTTCACTTTGCGTGTTTCTTATGATGCCGATATTTTTTTATTCAATTTATTTTCCTCTTTTTTGTAGAACGCTGGTAATTTGTTCAATGTTAATGAACCCAAAAAGGTACTTTTTCGTTTGTTTTTTTTTCTTTTCACTTTTGTTTTTCAAATCTTATTGAGAGTGTCAATTGGTTTTTTTGTTGTTTCCAAACATGTTTTTTTTCAATTTCATTTTCAGTTGCTCGATGTTCTTTCACGAGACCATCACATTTTGCTTTATGTTGAATTTTCTGTTCGATTTTTCTTCATTTTTTCCTTTTTTTCCATTCGTCGAAGTTAAACTTATGATATCATTCAAGCCATATCTCACTATATTCGACTTATCCCACTCTTGGGCATAATAACAATTAAGGCATGTCTTTGGTTCATTCCAATCCATTCATCGTGTCCATTTTCTTTGTTGTTTGAATTGTTCAAATAGCTCTGTTACGCTTCTAAATCGCATCCCACCCGATTGGAATCTTTGTGATTGTTGCCGACATTTACTCATAGATCGTTTTTAATATTTATTGTTTTTTTTTTCTCAATATAAATGCATTCTTATTTTATTTCACCTCCTTTAGAATTTAATTTTGGTTGAACTGTTTAGCTTTTTTTTCTGATATGATATGCATATTTAAAATACAATAGTTTCAGTAACGTTGACCCCATTTTTAGCAATGCATTCTCAAAATTACTTGTCGATTTTATTTCCAAGTGTAGCGGTGTTCTTCTTTGGTTATATTTTAATCGAATGACTTGCTTTCGTGCAAGATTTTTTAAATCATGGACTAATTCGTTTGATTTCCCTTCACCTTTTAAAAGGTATTGAAACACAAAGTCGACAATATAAAACGAATGTGCGCACACCCATTGATGCCATTGTACCTAACTGGTGGCCAAGATGGTTCGGTTCAGATGTGGGAATGGGGACACCAACAAGTCGTTTGCACACCACGACCACCCGGGACATTTGCCAAAGTGACACGATGCCGGTTCTCACAGCATGGCAACAAATTCGGTATCGCCGATGGCGATGGCAATTTAAGCTTATGGCAGGCCAGCTTAGCATCACAATCCAATCGATCATTCTTTGTAAGTTGAGTCGTAAATTGGTTTTTTTTCTTATTTTTTCATTAGAAAAACTTCGGTATCACACTTTGAGTATCATTTTCAAGTTCTTTTGGATAAAAACTCAGTCCCAAACATATTCATACTCAATATTCTTATGTCCATTCATTGCAGACCTATCAATGCCACAATAAAGGAATCTCGGATTTCGTATTTTTGGGCTCGTGCAGTTTAGTTGCCACGGCTGGCCACAGTTCAGAAAGTAAGAACGTTGGATTATGGGACACATTGTTGCCGCAAAAGAAATCGCTGGTTGCATGTAAGTTTCCGGCATAATAAAATAGAATTGGATTGACCTTAATTCGAATTTATCCATTAAAAATTTAAAATTCCAATTTCTAAGTAAATTTTAACGAAAATAATTTTCAGCATTCGCATGCCACGAACAAGGAGCATCGAGTTTGATTTATGCGCCACAGCATCAGTTGTTGATTTCGGCTGGTAAAAAGGGTGACGTTTGCATATTCGACGTACGGCAACGATCACTACGCCATCGATTCCAAGCGCATGAAAGTGCAATCAAATGCTTGGCTATCGATCCGCATGAAGAGCACTTTGTAACTGGTTCGGCCGACGGTGATATTCGAGTAAGTTCCTCTTTTTCAAGTTACTATTTCGAATGACAACAAAAACAAAATCTTTGAACCAAAAAAAACCAAATCTATCTCTTTGAACAGGTATGGGGTCTATCGGTTCATACCTCATTGTACACGTACCACGGTGAACATGCGAAGAGCAGTTTCTTCAAGCACATTGGTCAAGGTGTGACACAGATCCAAGTCGATGCGCAAGGACGCCTATTTTCATGCGGTGCTGATGGTTCAATGAAAGTGCGTCAACTACCCGACCGAGAGTCAATCGTCCAAACTTTATACTAAAGCGAATATTAAAATAAAACAAACATGTATAATGAAACACATACCAAAAATAAGACAACACGACGAAAAAGGAATGAGAATAACCACATAAACAACCACAAACACACACTAACACAGCTCAAGTGATATGTATAAAAAGGGAGAAGGCACTCTGCAAAGAAAAAACGAAAACAAAAAAACAATGCAGTCGACTTAATTATTATCATCATAGCGACAATATTACAAGAAAAACAAACAATATCCTATAATTTTAAACTAAAACCTAGGAATTTCACATTGTATGGGGAAAAAAAGCTGTTATATTGAGTATTTATTTCTATTTGTTATGCAATTAATTTTTATTTGTTATTTATTGAAATTTTCGAAGAACATGGGGAAGTTTTCATAAATTTATCTACCAAATGATGCAAAAAAAATAAGAGAAAGAGTAAAGAAAATAAACATTTTGATCAATGGAATGCAGTCAAAAAAAATGGAGAGTGCTGCATGTGATGTTAGAACGAACACCACGCTGTTCGTCAACAGTTCAAGAGATAGGAAGAATAGGATTTTCGCTAAGCATGGCAATTTTAGTGATGTTTTAAAACAAAATGAAGAAGAAAAACCAACACGGTGAATTTATCTATTTATTGTAACTTATTCCAAACGAAATAAATATCGAGTTAAACATTTATGAGTAGGAGTCAAAACAATTCTTATGTATTAGTTACGAAATCAAAACAAAAAGAATCATTTGTGTGACTTTTGATTGTTATACGTCAGACTTGAGTCTATTTTTAGCCATAAGACAAATAATTTTTTTTTCTGTCCTAAATCTTAACTCAAACAAAAGAATTTTTGGCTTTTTTCTTCTTTCTGAACTTTTTTTCTCGACATTTTTATTAAAGAAAGTGCGTGAAAGAAAAAAAAATATACTTGAAAAAAAAATTGAATTTTAAGAGAAAAAAAATGACTTTTGAAAAAGCAAAAAAAAATATTTCTTCAACATTTTCTATTCGTTCCTTCGAGATAAATCTTCTGGAATTTCTTTTCGGTGTATATCACATTGTAAGCGCGACGCGTGTCAAATCGAACACCGATGAACTGGGAGGGAATGTTTTTGATTCATTAAATTTAAGTGTGCAGTGCATCGTTACCACAGTCAATCAAAGCACGTTTGTTAAATATTTTATAGTAGCCATCTTTTGTCAAAGGAAATATTACAACAAAAAAACCAATCAAATGTAAATGTATAAGACAATTCTATATATATAAACTACAAAAAAAAACACAAACAACCTATTCACATATAGAAAATAACAGAGAGCAGTGTAGGATCAGAGAGCGAAAAGGATATAATACTAATGTTTAAGAGAGAGAGAGAGAGAGAGAGAAGGATGTTAAGAGTGAAAAAATAGAGCGTTGAATGTTTCAAATTATTTGCAATAAAAGAACATATTACTATATTATATCAAAAAGTTACAATAATCGAGTGCTGAGTGCTGACAAAACTGGGAGGGAAATGCAACAATAAAAAAATGACCTTATGATAGCTATTAATGAATAAATTGCTTCGAAATATGGCCCATATATAGTTACAAATTGAAGAGCTGAGTTGAGAATACAAAGCACACACTTCTTTCTTTCGTTTAATTTGGCCTTTTGAAATCTAATCGTTTTGCATTGTTTCATCAGTTGTGCATACAAAGATTTTGATTAATTTATCTAGCAATAAATCAGCACGATAATTCTTTTCTAATTTAATTACAATCATTTTTATCGTTCTTTTTTTTGTTGTCGTTGCCTTCGGAATGTGTGTGCAGACCGATAAATATAATCAATGAATGTATGTGTGCACGCACATACAGAAGGAGACCACCTCTTCAGGACAGAGTTGATTTTTTTTCATTTTTCTGTGGTCGTAATTTTTTTTAGTTTTCAATTTGCCTATTGCACAGTGTGATGCGCCGAACCAAAAAAAAGTATTAAGTTGATTTTTGTCGCTTTTAATTTTATTTCGATAAATCGATATACCAATAAAAAAAAAGGAAGAAAGAGATGAATGAAACATATAGCGAGCAAAACGCGTTCATGAATTCAAATACGGCTTAAACACTCTATAAGTATCACGTACACACAAATGATAGCAAGACAATGTTTTGGAAATAAACTAAATCCAATAACATATACTGATGCATAACCATCTTTTGCCCCAACACACACACACACATACCGAATTCCTTTGATCATCCAAATCAAGATTTTGAAATCATATACGTGTTTATAATTGTAGATAGCATAAAATATATTACATGAAGAAATAATTTAAAAATATCGTATTATTCATTGAATAATAGTTTAAATGCAATAAAATAATTTAAAAAAACCATTTAAAGGTAAACCGTTTTATTCATACATTTTGTTTAATATTTGCTGAGTGGGCTAATGTGTTGGATTCATCAAGATTCCCATCATCAGATAGGTCAAAACCTTTTCTATGATACAATTTGATACAATGATATTTCTGATGATGACCCATATCAACCGGTTTGATTGATCAACATCGGTGGTGAACCAGCATGATTGGCTTATGTATTATAATGGTAAATATGTCCATCCTCTCCCCGACATGTATTCATGAGCCATCAATTTTTTGACTTTCGAATAGAAAATTCCGTTTGCTTTTCTTAAATTCCCTGACAAATTTGTTTTCATTTTTGCTGAATTTCATGGTTTTCATTTCAAATGTCCTCAACTGAATTTTGTGTAGAAATATCCCCAGTTCAAAAAGTTTTTAATTTGAACAGCGGCAACACGAAGTACAGCTGTCACTCGACTGTCAAACATCACATATGAAGCGTCAATGAATAGTATGTAAACAAAATATTGGTATCTAAAGTGTTTCTAAAGAAAGAAAATTGATTGTATGTAACTCAAAATAAAATGTTTTCGTTATGTCGTTTGTGTGCGAGGTATATGGAAGAAACCGAGCGAAAAACGGAAATAACAAAACTGGAAACGAAATTGGCGTTTTGCTGTGGGTGGAAGCGGTCACAAAATGAAGCGCAGATGCCACAGAAAGCATGCACTTTGTGCGTTGACCAATTGCAAACGTGCTGGACGTTTACTGAATCCGTTTGGGCGGCCGAAGCGCAGCTTAAGAAACTGACAAATGAACCGGTCGAAGCCGAAGAAGTAGCAGTAGCAAATGAGATTGAATTTGTCGCGCAAGATGATGACTGTGAGGACGAGGTAAAAACAGAGGATGATGTGGATCCAAAGCTGATGTCGAATTGTGTTGTTGTACTGGAAGAAATGAAATTGCCTTTAAAAGACAGCAATAAAGATAGTGATGTTAATGCTGATGCTGATGCCGGTGCTGGTGTTATTGACGACGATGATGACAATTATAATGATGCGGACGATACTGTTTTTGATGCGCCAACCACTTTCTCCGATGCGGAAAGTACACATTCAAATAAGAGTGAACAAAAGGAGAAGATAAAAATCGATGCCGAAAAAAGGCAATCGTTACGAGATCCATTCCTAACTGGTTTAACACCTGAAGATTGTCTCGAAGGTGGCTTGATAAGTGCGGATGGTGTCGCAAAACTGGAGAAACTAAATCCAACTATGAAAACCATGTCCTGGAGCGACTGTCAGTATAAATGTGACAAATGCAATCG